GGTTTAGTGTAAAAGGTTTATGTGTTAATTCTTATTTTAACTATTGGTTCAACAAATAATTTATTATATGCATGAGTTCTTTTATCCTTATTATTTATCGTTTAGGTTTGGTACGCGCTTAAATCATTAGGTGTGCACACTTGACCCGAACGAAATAAGGTGTACTTAGGTTCTTTTAGTTAATTTCTTCAGCATATATATGTATTCTAAAGAAATGAGCATGTTATAATGATGTGATTTCGAAGTAAGCTTTTGATTTTTTTTATATATATAATATATATGTATGTATATTCATTTATGTATGTACATATGTACGCTGAACTCTCCTGGGTTGGTAAACTGATTTTAGAAGGAGTATTTCATGACTGCAGACAAATTGCGAGTCAAGAAAGTATAAATGCCATTTATATTCATATTTTAATTTCAGGCTTGAACTCAATTTCAATGGTCTGTAAAACCTCAATTCCCAGTGTTTTGGTTAAAAACTTAATTTGACGTACGATCGGGATCACGTGTCACGACATATGCTCTTTGGCGCCACTGTTCCAAATATTACGTTCAGATTTCCTCCCAGAAATGATCAAAGTAATAAACTCGCCCCTCAATAAATCGGATTCGTTGAGCATCCGAGATGAGGCTGCTAAAAGTATTTTTTGAGACGCCCTGTTAGAATTGTGACGCTTCGTATCAGGTTTTCAGCTCAATTGTCCAACGTACAACGTGGGTGGACGTAATCTACGAAAACTAAAAAATTTATTGCAATTATGTCGCCGTCTGGAGCGTTAGGTGCTGGACACAACAATTCGCATACACACATGTGTAAGTACACACACACATACCTCTATAGATATATTGGTATATCAACAAAAAAAATTGCATCATAAAATGGGAACAAGCAAACAGTGGCCGTTCATGATCCTTAGACATAAGAAGAAAAGAACGTACGACAAGTGGCATTATGTCCTCATTTGACCCTTTAGTGATTTTTTTCCTTTGCATGGCATATTGCGGTAATGTCGTTAAGTGTGAATTTTGGGAAGGCGGTGTCTTTTAATATTTACTTAGCCCATAGCTTAACAGTGTTCTACCTGTCACAGAAATTCTCATATATGTACGTAGGTACTTATAAAAGTGTACATACATATATGAGGGGTTTGTGTGTACATAAGCAAGTGTGTCGCCACTAGTAATAAAATTAAGAGAATAAAATCAGGCTGATCACAAACATCCACCGATACAAGGGCAAAGGCTTACTCATATATATGTACAATGTGTCGTCAAGTGGCATGGATGTTAACCATGGATCTGCCCACAGTCGGTTCGCTATTGTTTATCGTCGTCGAACCAGCCGATATGTTGTGCACCGGTGGCGCCACAGTGCAGCATTATTGCGCAGTCAGAACAAACCCGCAGGACTCGTAAAATACTTCAATCGATGTACATACATGTGTCGAACTTGGTGGACTTATGGCTTGTTTGTCTCTTATCTCTCGTTGCGGATCTCCCTTTTATGTGGTAAAGACACTATTGTCGCCTGAGGTCCTATGCACAGAAGCTGTGACATGTGTTTCTTTACGATAAGAATGTACCTACACTTAATGCAAAGTAATTTGTTAAGCAGCTTCCGTTTGATCACATTTTGCACGAACTTTTCTACAAGAACTTTTTGGCGCTGAACATCGTTAATATGAGGTGGTGCCTGGTTGTTGTTACTTAAACTATTGTGACACTTAACAGAAAGTGTAAACTTTTATAATTTTATAATATTAACCATGAACTTATCCGCTTCGCTGGGAAAAAATCTGTTTTTTGGTAAGAAAACAGAAAATGCGGGTAATAATTTGGCTCGGACCTTATTTATCAAAACACTATTTTCGCAGACAAAAATTGCTTTTTATATGTCTATGTACATATACATATAGTAAACAGGACTGTTCCAATTTCAATTCCTCCATGTTTTTTAATCAAATTTCGTATATGTTTGCAGAAAATGTCTGCATTATCTTACAAATAATTTTCCGATTGTCTAAACCCGGTCAATAACAATTATAACAACAGCTACTGTACTAGTATAATTGAACACGTTATACTTGTACTCTCGCAATTTACAAAAATTATGCGAAAATATTTTCAGGTATTGCAAAACTCAATATTAGACAAGAAAAACCTTTAGTCCCCCTCACAAATGCAAAAGATTTCTAACAAAAACTTGAATATGGTCGCTCAGTTTGTATGGCAGCTATATGCTATATCAACCCGATTTGAACAATTTTTCCGGAGATTGCATCATGATCTCAGACAATAACTCGTGCTAACTCTAGTGAAGATATCGACAGTTCCAAATGATGACAAATGATCAGCTTCTTGGAAAAAAAGTACGTGTGAAAAATTTCAGATCGATATCTGAAAAACTTATATATACATACAGACGGACAGACGGTCATAGCTAAATCTACTCAGCTTGTCATATTGTTCATTTATATGAATACTTTATAGGATCTCTGACGCCTCCTTTTGGGTGATGCAAGAATCGTGGCAAACTTAATATACCCTGTGTGGGTATAAAACTGTATAATAAGTAAAAATCGAGAACGAACCAAAACGCGCCCAAGCAAAAAAGCTGTCAAAAATTAGCTAAACATTCAAAATGCTAGGCTAACACAAGTATACTTATAGTATACGAGAGCTGAGATAATTCATGGACTCATTTCACAAATTTTCGGCATTATGCTATGTATATAGAGTATATTCAGTAGTTCGGAAGTTTGAAATTTGTATATTAATTATATGGGAGCTCGATTTTATCGATTTTGAGCACAAGGATATACTGTTATTAGAAGGAGTTTATCTCTGATATATGCGATATAAAGTCAACCGAAAGTTCGCCTATCTTTATTTAGGTACACGGAGGTTAGGGGCAGTATTGCCCGATTTCACCCATTTTTGACATAAGGGCCATAAGTTTTATTACAAGGGCCATAAGCCGTTACAGAGCAGGCCGTTACAGAAATGAAACTAAGATCATTTTTTTAATAAAGTTAATTTTATTTAATAATGCATATTCGTACATTAAATGGGCGAAATAAAAATTAATTCGAAATGATAATCTTTTGCTTTCACACAACCCTAAAACGATTCGGCCATTGATCAATAGCAGCACGCATTGTTTTTATTGGTATTGACGTTGCGGCTCGAACCAAATATTTTTGAGTCTCTTCAGAACTCAGAAATCGAGTTCAAACGAAAAAACCTATGAAGTCGTATTCAATCCTGATTTAGGACAACCTCAATAGTTTACTCAAGCGAAACTAAATGACTTAGTGAGAGACTTGGGCCTGTCGAAGGATGGTGCACAAATCTTAGGATCTGTTGGATTCAGGAACCACATTTTCGTGGTATAGGCATCATGAAAAAGAGTAATAATATCCCTGAATTAGTCATGAAACTGGGAGCTGACAATTATGATTCTACATCATGGAGATTATATTGATTCTTCTAAGAGAAGTTTAAAGGGTGTCTTGTTCCACAGGGGTAATACTTATCAGAAAGAATAGTATGGGAACTGGAGCTGTTGCTAAATAAAAGAAAGTATAGCAAATATTGTTGGCAAATCTGTGGAGACCTCAAAATAATATATATGCTTTTGGGTCAGCTGTCTGGATTCACAAAGTATCCATGTTTTTTGTGCGAGTGAGACAGTCTAGCCCCAAATTTACATTACGTTAAAAGAGAATCAGGCCAATCAGAGTAAGACTTGTACCAGGACAAAAAAAAAGTGCTGCGTGATGCATTAGTTAACCCAAAATTAGTTCTTTTGCCTCCCATTAACATGAATTTAGAATTGATGAAGCAGTTTGTCGAAGATTTAAATAAACAAGGTAACTGCTTTAAAGACCTGCGCCACAAAATTTCCTGCAATTTCTGAAGCTGAACTTAAAGAAGAAATATTTGTAAGCCCTTAAATTCGAAGTAATCCAGGATGAATCTGAAGCAGGGAGTTCTTTCGTAGAAGTAAGATGCAATATGAGCGTCAAGCTTCATTTTCTTGCTTCCCAAATTGACTCTTTTCCCGAAAATCTTAGAGCTGTTAGCGAGGGACTGGAAGAGAGGTTCCATCACGATATAAAAGAGATTATTAGCGCATATTAGCGCATAGTGGACTTTATGCACATATTGCCAAATGTCGGATTAAGTATTACTTATTTTACTCGTTTCCCTATGTCTTATTTCCCCAACATAATGATTCTTCTTCTCTTTGGTTGACTTTACAGAATTTATATTAAATATATGTAATGCCTAATTAAATCTTTATGCGTTTCTTAAAAAAATATAACTATAAATAACAAGAACTTTATAGCGTTCCTAAGACCCAATCGAATTAGTATAACCGGCATTGTAAACACCTTAACCGACTTATTTTAAAGATTTCTACATATTTACATATGTTTGTACATACATACATATGTATGTATTAATATAAAAATACTAACACAAGGGTTAGTAGTATTACAGTCTTGTTTGCCCGCCCTCGTATGTACCTATACATCATGTTGAAAATATGCATGTATTATAATACCATATACATACATATGTATGTGAAATATTCTAATGTTAATGGGTTTATTTTTATGTGACTACAAATTATTCTTACGATGGAATAATAAAGTCACAAATACGTATACATATGTATATTGTTAATCTGCATTTTTACCGATGGTAGGCACTGAACGCAGATGCAGCTAATGCTGAGGAAAAGTTGCACAAATAATTGTGGATACAAATTGGAAACGACTGTCTAGAAGATCCCAATTACGAAGTCAAAGCGACTAGCTATTGAAAACGTCGCCTCAGATCAATTTCCCTACTTATATACATACATATTTACACATGTAAGTATATACAAACATGCGTCAAAATAAATGAAGTGTTAACACAGCAACAACAATGGTTCGATGGGAGGAGTCATGAAACGCAAGAGCACATTTCAATTGAGTAAATAAGAGGAAAATACAATATTTGTTCTTGACAATTTTCCAAAATGGAGATCGGCGTCGTATCTTGTTTTTACTATAAATGTAATAAACGCACGAGTCCAAAGACCAATCAGGCGTTGCTTTACATATACATGTAACTCAAAACTGCTAGAGAGAAAAGAAAAAGGAAAGAGAAATCGACAACTTTGAGCAGCATAGAGAGGCGATCGCCAGTCAACCGTACGTACAAAAACAGGTTGCAGCTTGTGTGACGGCAGTGTGAAATGAGCATGTGTTAATGTTAGTTCGAAGATCAGTTCGGAAATTTTTAGCCGACGAAGACAGAATTGCTATTAGCAGTAGTTAGTTTCCAAGTGAACGTGCTCGTATTAATAATAAAACGCTTAAGCTAAGGAGTTGTATGGAAATATGTACTTTAAAATTTAAGCAGTGACTGTATGTGGCCAAATAACAAGAATTAATAAATAATTAAATAGTGCTAGTTAATAGAACCACAAAAATACAACAGTGAAAATGCTAAGCATGACTGAGTTCGTGGATATGAGAATGCAACAGCAGATCGCGCATGAATTATATAGACAGCAAATTATGCAGCGTATTCCGGGTAAGGTTTTAGCTATTTTCGGCAAAAAATTTACCGTCGGCGTTTATTTTTTGTAAATCATTGTGGTGGCAACAACTAATTATCTAATTACGGACTTGCTATTACTTTACAGATCCATTTCCACCTATGCTCCCTTTTCATATGCCCCATCACATAATAGTTCCCCAACGCCCGGCATTGCCTGGTGTAAAAGCAAAATTGGAAAACAACGAACTGTGGAAGCAGTTTCATAGAATCGGTACGGAAATGATCATTACAAAGAGCGGAAGGTAAATGTACAGAAATTCGAATTCCCAAACTGTGTTATTACATACATACATATGTATTTATATACTATATACTACATACCAGAGCAGATAATTGTGCAAACATAAATAAAATATGAATATAAATGAATTCAGCGCTGTGAAACGTGTTGATAGCGACTATGTAAGATGCTACTCACGGCGGTTATGGGTTTTTATAATAAATTAATTCATAATACATATAATAATATTTAAATCGAGAGTAGGGTGTTCTGTTTCAAGAGTTGAACATGTGTACAATTTGCAGCTATTGAAGTGTTTTTGTATGAATGTTCCATTTACAAATCTTACAATTCTCAACGATTAACACGCGTAAAAATCTCAACGGGAGGTAATTTCCGAAAGCAACGATGATACAGTCCAAAGGCAAAATATTCAGGCCTTTATTTAAGTAACTACATACATTATGCTCAAAGATATTACAAAGAATGAGGGTAGGAGAGTAACTAGTGTGGCGCCAATGTGATCATGAAATTACATACAACCGTCACATTTGTTGGTCACTGAATAGGCAGAAGCCACGGACGGCACTTTGTTCTTTTAACCTTTTCATTATTCTTGTTGTTGTTACATGCTCTTAACAGAATTGTCTTCTGATTGTGATTAAAAGTAAAAATATGTACCTATACACAGATAAGATAGATAGGTCAGATAAATGACCAGTAGTAAGTTAGATTAAACGATACATGTTTATGCATACAAATCTAGATGGATATTGGCCAAAATTAAAAAACCCCTCTAATGAAAACAGCTGTTGGATTTTCTGACTTCTGAGACGATCATTTCCATACACGCATACACATATGTATATAGATCAATATTGGTTGCTAATTACAGAATGGCATAGGTGACCGTCAAGTTCAAAACCAATGTTGATCCTCTTTACCACATCATTAGTTTAGTCGTAAAGCATCGAGCGCAACACGTTCAAACCAATTAATCATGTTCTGTTTGTTTTGGTAACAAACCATTATGATCAGGGGCATTGCGCATCAGTTAACTATGCATAAACATCAATATACTGATATATATATATATATATATAGCTAAGAATGTGCTTTTTTCCATACATACTAAAAACCTACAAACGTTCAAAGGAATATGGGAGTTTATGTGGTAATGCTTTGCTTCTTCTTTGCTGCGTCGTCGCTGTTCTTAAAATTGAAATCAATTTTCACGGCGCCAATTCGTTATACTCCCTGCTGTTCTACTTTATGACGGAAGGGCCTTTCCCATTGTGGTTTTAAATTTTGATCTTTTATTTTTATTTTCATGGAAGGTTTGTTTTTGTTGTCAGGTAGTCTGCCTTCTGCCATGCCATAATTACACACTTGTTAACCGGCGCGAACCAATCATCTATATTTAGCGCAGTTGTGAGGCCGTCGTTTGGAAATAAAACCACAAATCACATAAACTACGCCTACATTTTGTGGCCCATTCGAGTGATGATAGTTTCATTTGATATATTGATTTGCTACCTTTTTTAGTACAAAACATACATACATATGTATCTACATATGGTTATTAACAATGTTTATGTATGAATAGTATATAATTTGTGATTGTGTTTTCTCTATTCCGATATTGAGTATCGATCAATCTTCATCATATATAATACTGTGCTGTATTACAGGCGAATGTTTCCATCAATGCGTGTTTCAGTCTCTGGTCTCGAAAACGAAGCAAATTATTGTGTTTTGCTCGAAATGGTTCCCATTGGTGATTGTCGGTTTAAGTTTTCTGGATCGCATTGGATACCTGCTGGCGGAGCTGAGCCTCAGAGCCCCCAGCGAATGTTTCTGCATCCTGACAGCCCAGCCACAGGTACTCATTGGCAATCCCAAGCCATTATTTTTAACAAAGTTAAACTCACCAATAATACACTGGACAACAATGGACATGTGAGTGTTTTGCGATTTCTATTACTTAAAAAAAATCTTGAAATTCTTTTTTAACATCTTCAGATTGTGCTCACCAGTATGCATAAGTATCAACCTCGATTCCACATCATCCGTACCTCAGACTTAACCCAGCTCCCTTGGTCTCCGCAGCAGGCTTTTGTTTTTCCAGAAACAGAATTCGTTGCAGTTACTGCTTACCAGGTTCGTATCTTTTATGTTTTATTTCAAAAGTCTAGATACATATACGAGTATATTTGTATGTATATAGGAGACATATATTTTAGCTCCAGGAAACGGGTTGAAAAAGAATCGGTCCGAAGAGTCGCTTTTCTTGTATTAAAAATAACACAAATTACTTAATTAGCAATTTCTAGGACTAACTGAGGTGGTAAAAATTTTGCTGTCTAATGTAAATATATGTCTGAGCTCTTAAAATTTGATTAAAATCATTAAACTTACAAATGCGGACTTTTCGCAATTGCCGTACCTTAATTAAAATAATAGAAAATACCTCGGATGAGCACATTTTGAAAAAGTTTGCACTAAATAAATTCATCCAAACATTTTTGTCATGATTTTTAGTTGTTTTTTAATATAATAGTAAATTTGAAATACAAAGCATGACGCAACCAACATCTTAGAAATGCGTATTTTAATATCTACATATAAATTAAACAAAGTAAATTTAATACATACTATATGTAAATACAAATCAATTATACTCGTACCTATGTCTGTAATTTTCGCAAAATAATTAAACAACATGTTTTAAAATTTATTTGCACTTTTAGAATGATCGAATTACAAAGTTAAAGATTGATAATAATCCTTTTGCCAAAGGATTTCGTGAAACGGGCCAGTCACGTTGCAAGCGCAAGCTGAGCACCTTGAATCCCGACGAAGAGGATATAGGGGAAAATCCATCCAGTCCCTGTAAAAATTCGTTTGCGTGTAGCGAAGATGATCGTATCAGCGTTAGCAGTGGACGGATGGAGTTAGGATCAATAAAACGCTGCCGTTCGTTCGACTCTTACGATGATGATATTTACGTAAACTCGACCAGTTCACGTAGCTTTGATAGTATATCGCCGCCCCAATATGATGAAACAATGTACTCGGCAATGGCAATGTACCACAGGGAACCTATACAGTATCAATCCTTAAATAGTCCGACCATAGGTATTTCCGCCGCTACATATTTAGCAGATGCAGCCAAGATCAATCCACCTATCTCCTCAACAACGGATGAAATGGAACCGTTGTTAATTCATCTGCCACAAAAATTAAATTTACAGATGCACTTGCCGTATTCGCGATTGCCACATCCACATCTTCCACCCATTACCAATATTACGCCGGAAGTTACAGTATTAAGAAATCCTACTGCGATGACGCATATAATTGAAGAACAAACTGCAGACAACGCAGCAATATTATCCGAAGCCACCAGAACACATAACGAAGAAAAAGTAGAGCCGAAACAAACGAAGCGCAATAACTTTAGCATATCTGCGATTTTAGCATTCTAATAATTTCGTTTTTTATCAATTATGTTCCAAGGTCTTCTAGCCTAAGAAGCATATAATTTGGGTATTCACATATTTAAATTTGTACATACATACATATGTATTAAATAACAAAAATTAGTATATGTTAAAAAAATTTTGGAAGAAATCCTTGTTATTTTTGGTGCTCACTTGTGAGCAATGTCAAAGTGTAAATAGGATCATGTGTCAGAGCATGATCTGTATCGCAATTAAATCATAAATAATTTAATTTTTCGTCAATCTTTTATTATTACCGAACCATCTTTCTCCGATTTTGGAGGGGGATTCGCCACTGCATATCTTGTTCACCTGGAAGTTTTTTTGCATATATTCTCTCTTTAAAAATACTTCTTGAAGCGCCTCAATTACCAATTTAAATTCCTTCTTTTTATACTCTTGTAACATGTTGCTACATAGTATAATAGTTTTGGTCACCCAAAGGTTGTTTGTATCACCTAAAACTAATCGAGATAGATATGGCGTTATGTAAATATAAATGATCAGGATGACGAGACGAGTTGAATTCCGAGTGACTGTCTTTCTGTTCGTCTGTACAAGCGAAAACTTGAGTAAAAATTAAAAAGTAAGATATTTTAATGTAACTTGGTATGCGCATTCATTGAAAAAAAAGGACGAGTTCGTATGGGCGAATCGGGCCACTGCCAAGTCCATAAAAGGCCATTAAACGAAAACCTTTAAAAGTGCCATAACTAAGCTCTAAATAAAGATATAAAACTGTAATTTGGCACAGGGGATCGCAGTAGCAAAGTGCACCTGTGGGCTAAAAATATTAGGAAAATAAGCGTGACCCGCCCTCAAAGAGATTTAATGTATATATGTCCTAAGCCATTCAAACTATTATAACCGAATTTGCTCAGGAGAAATCTATTAATCATCCCTACCGACAATGTAACAATTGATGACAGTCCGGCCCATATAACGATTCTATTAAAAACTACTAAAGATCCGGTATCAAATTTGGACGAATCCATATCTCGGTACCTACTCAACTGATTTTAACCAAATTCGGTATGTAATATTATCCTTACAAGTACATTATAGTACAGTGTAAAAATAGGTGAAATCATACAAAAAAACCACGCCAACTTCCCATATAAACAATTTTAAGTTCTATACGATTCTTTCACTTTCCAATTTTCAAATCAAAAACCAATCGATGTATCTTTGCACAAATAGCGCCCTCAAGGTATTTCATCTTACGTCCAAAAATTATCAGAATCGGACCATAACTTTTCAAGAACCCAGACGCCATATAACTGATATTCAGGATTTTGAAACGTCCCGCTGACTTTACTCTATATATATATATATATATGTATATATTAACATATATAACATATTTACATATAAAATTGCATGAAAATAAGATCTCAAGTATACCTGAGCAATGAGAAAAATTAATGCAATCTGCCCTTCCATTTCTCTCTCCGCAATACATTATATATAATGATTTTCGACTTTCCATCTAACTTTAAACCGGAAGGAACAAATTTTGTAAAAAATTATGTAAGTTACCACTGAATATGAAAAATCGATCTAGACTTATATCTAAACCTCATATCCCTAATATAATGAATTCCGATCCTTTGGTCGAAGTTTTTAAATCAACTCAATATATTAGATTTAGCAAAGTCTTCGGTTGAGTTTATATCACATTTTTCATTTAAGTATGAATTTAATACAATATTCGTTGACGCGAGCTAAAATATAGTAATAAAACTAAGGGATTAATAAGATACCAAAATTGATTGTAATCCATTCACGTTTTCGTCAAACAATGAAGTTGAATCCTTTGGTTACAATTTTTAATAATATTAACACCTGAAGATATTTAGCCGGATTTGATCCTTTGCAAGAAGCCTAGGCCTTCCTTACTTGTAAAAATACGTTTTATTGATACTTTGAATCTGCCAAGTCTTACGTTACTATAAAACTGGAAATTTTATACGAATATGTAGTCAGTTTTTTTTAGCACGAAAAATCACAGTAAATAATAATTTGATCAAAAGTAATATAATATATACATTTATCAAATCGGAATGCACATATCAAAGATATATGTACATGAGAACGTAGGGTTACAACATGGAAGCAGCAAGCTTTCAAACTTGATTTCTCAATCTTTTCAATTTTACACATTTGTGTTTCTGACAATCGTAGCGATAAGTAAATATATACTTTTGGAACGGTATGCAGTTAAAACTTGCAGTAGTTATTTATTTTTTTATAACTGAACGCCTAACTCGTTAAAGAACGGTATATACCCAAAATTTATGTATTCAGGTATGGGGTGAATATAAACGGGTAAAGGTACCAAACATTTATTAGTCGTATAAATAAACACATCGTTTAGCTAGTAGTAATTTTGGAAAGTTCCTCATGTAGTTCAGCTGCATCTATTGGCTCCTTAGCGGATGAAGTGCTGGTCGAAGCCGTAGCGTTCGAGGTAGGCCTGGCGCAAGTCTTTTTGTGCATAAACCAATGCAAACGTTGACATTCACGATCACAATATTTTACTTGTTTACATTTTGAGCACTTTTTGTCTGGTTTTTCATTACCACAAGAACTGCAATATGATGTATCATCCTAATAAATTATATGATAGTAAAATTTATTATGAACAAGATTTTTTCTATATGAAAATAAAAATATATTACCGCAAAACCACGATGACCGTTAATAGCATTACGAAAGACCATTAGAGCAGGTTGCGGGTCTTTAGCGGCTAGTTCGGAAACAACTAGACGAAACACAGTGCAATCTCTGAAAGGGAACTCACGCACGCAATCGCGTAGCGTAAATTCTATGTAATCCAGCTGACCGATTTTGTTTTCTTTTAAGACACGCTTTATAAATAACTCCACAAAATCGTGCTTTCCTGCATCAACTTCATACAACTTTTCCTTACGTTGGGCTTTACACTGTTCCTCGCAACGCATTAATTCCGACACAATCCAACCAAAGTAGTGAAACTTGAAAGCCATGAGTTCATTAACATTATTGGTCTTCTTCATTTCCTTTTCACACATATACTCCAAAGCTTTCTTCAAACTGTGCAAATTTTTTAACAATCCTAAGGATTGTAAATTTAGTGCAATGCGCACAGGGTGCAAATTAATTTCTATAACAAATTGATGAAACAAATCCATCATTCCCGGAGGTATCAGTGGTTCTATTTGTTGACCCTGTACCCGTGTATAGTACTCCAATGTTTTGCGGGGAACATAGTTATTGATCGTTTCCACGCAGGAGTGATTACCAACAAAAGCTGCCATCTGTGATGCTGTTCGTGAAACACTATTCAAACTATTTGGATTTATACCAGCATCTAGAATAAGCCTACACACTTCTGTGTTGCCTGACAAAGCTGCAAAGTGCAACGGAGTATAATCAGCGCCATGTTTATTGAAATGTATATCAGCACCCTAAAAAATATTATATTAGCACGTGTTAAAATGTTTGCCTTAAGAGCTTACCATATCTAATAAAATTTGTACTGCTTCTTTATTACCCTTGCAACAAGCATGTTGAAGCGGAGTCATCCCATCCTCGTCTACGAAATCGACACCCGCCTTTAGTTGGGTTATCAGCTGCTTAAAGCCATTTACATCGTTTTTGGCAATGCGATCAAATATCTGTCTCTGCACTTCGTCTAATTTGTTTTCGTTTTTTGGTTCCATCATTTACTATATTTAATACAAAATACCTTTTTTACAATTATATTACTTGTATGGTAAGGCCTATACAATGCCTTACGTATATGTACAATATATTTGAAAGGACCTTAAATAAATTGTACGATGTGAAAAAACTCCAGAGTTTATAAGTATTATGTTTTCAATATTTCAATGAAAGAATCACAAATTTATCGATTTGTGTCCATTGTCGATAACAAATTTGAGCAAAGACTGAACTATACATAATCGAAATAAGACAATCTTTTTCATTAATATATTGTGACGAACACAAATGATAGAAGTAAATCGAATCGACGATAAATTGCCAGAACCAACTAGTCAGCAAATTCGTAGTTGCCAGATTGTTCAAGTGGCAAACTTTTGTAGATCTACTTTATAAGGGCTGCCGGATTGTGCAGCAAAGATGGTTCCAGAGAACGTATATTATATACGTTACCAGAGATTTCTGTTAAAGTTTCTGTGAGTTTCTGTAAGCATGTTCCATGTGCATGTGTTAGGTTCCATGAAAATTATTTCAATATTTTTGGAGTTTCGGTAGTTGTCACTTAATGAAAAATTTTTCAGGTAAACAATATAATTAAAAAAAATATATGATAGGCGATACCTAAAGGAGTAGTAACGGTGTTCACTATGACAAAATTCTGGGGCAGCCCTGTTTTTATACTTAACGTAAAAAATGTATATATACGACAAACACGTCAAGCAAAAATGCTCAAATTTCTTATTAATATTTATATAGTTTAATGTGCTTTGTTGATTCAAGTTATCGGTTTGCTTTTATTCACTGCATCAATAACTTCGTCGTGCTTGCGACTATCCTTTCGGTGGATTTACTATGTTTATTACGTAATAAATATAATAATAAATGTTTTATTGTACCGCAATTACTTGAACAATGAGATTCAATGATGAGCAACCCTGTTGTACTCGTTGGTTCGCATTCGGTGAATTTTCATTAGTTGAATTTTCTCAGCGAATTTAGTGAATCGAGTGAGTTGAGTTTATTTAAATTGCTTATTGTCTGTGGATTGCCAGTATTTTCATATGTAATTATTGTAAATAAATAAAGAGGACGTTCCAAGTTTAAATAGAAAAAATTTAGCAACGAATGACTATATCTGAAAATTAATATTAAAATTAAGTGTTTGTGAAATAATTGAAGGTATTGACATTTTCTAAATAAGAGAACACGGAGGGAGTTGTTTACGACTGGAAAAATGCGAATTTTCTGTCATACAATAATGTGAGGTAGAAAGCTAAGTAGCTTAATGAAACATTAATCATAATTCTTCGTATTGGTTTTGCATTCGCTCTTCGCCGAGGGAACGAGCGAAGAATATGTAAGAAAATTGTGCTGAGGATATAATACGATAAGTATGCGAAAAGATAAAATTTGAAATTGATAAGTGTAAACCGAAAACTCAAAAGACAAATTAGAAGCAATTATTTTTGTATAATCTGTAAAGCATTATTTTCTTCAGTGAAAAAATAAATACCAATATCTTACATTGACATATGAACCTTTTTAGAGTCTACACATATGCAAGTATGTACAATTCGAAATAATTAAATATGATAATAGATAAAGTTTACCCCACGTATTTTTTTGTTTTGATTTTCTTTTATTCGAAACACATTTTATATTTCCTTTACTTACCTATGTCGACAGATGGAAAGTACCATATGTCCCATATTCTAAATATTTCAGTGTAGTCACACTAATGCATATGTTATAAACATTAGCGTATTAAAGTAATTGCAACTTGAAGGATCAAAGCCGGGGAAGTACTTTCAGCTGTTGGCAAAACTATATATTATTAAATTTTCAACGAAGGAGGCCTCGAAAATTAAAATTTTTTTGAAAATCATCTAATTTTGACCCGAAGATTACAAATCCGTGGGCGGAAAATATATTGACATATTATTATCAGCAAAGGATTATCCTAATTTCAAAAAAATATCTCACACATTGACCAATATTTTCGGTAGAAAGTCAGCCATGGGCTGTGGGGCACCTTAAAGGCAATATTCGTGCAAATTTTTAACCCGATATATTAATTGGTGATTGATTTGTATACTGAAAAGTGGAAAAATTTAAGGTTGCTGTCCTCTTTATCCCATTTTTGCACTGCAACATGTTGTATGTCAAAGTAATCCTATGTACCCAATTTGGTTGAAATTGATGGAGTAGGTCCGGAGATATTAGACACCTTCTCCTATTAAGTCCTTTGTGCCATCCTGGATGTTAAATTTAATGTCTCTGAGGCATTTAGTGATTCAATTATCGTAGTTTTAGTAGTTTTTAACAAAACCATTATATGCAGAGGGTGCGCGGTTATCATCCGATTTCATACACGCAAATGGTGTCAAAATGATTCGTCCTGTGCAAATTTGGATGTTATAGCTTGAATGGTTTGGGAGATATATACATGAAACCTTTTTAAAAATTTTGAAATAACAAGTGTCCCCAGTGTTGTTTTTTTAATTTGCGACTAGTTATGGCAATTTATAGATTTTCGAATAGTGCCATTTGGTGGGCGTGGCTGAGGTCCATTACACCCATCTACGAACTCGTTCTGCCTTTTTGGTTAAGGAACGCGTGTACAAAGTAAACAAAAATGTTTAGCAATAGGAACTTATTAATAATTGTACTGATAATGAAAATTTAATATCATTATCAGTAAAATATGTTGAATAACCCTTTCTTTTCATACTTAATGTAGTATGCAAATATAAATAAATAAAACATTTAAAAAATATAAAAAAAAAACAATTTTAAAAAGAGCGAAACAGTGTCTTATAAAACTCAAGTTTGAACTCATTAATTAATTAAGAAATAAAATGGGAAAGCTGTTGAGTTTATTGTCGCGCGACGATTCAAACTGCTGTGCTGCAAAATCCTACGATGTTTTCCTAGACTTTGAGAATGCCGCACCAACAGATACAGAGCGTGAGGTTTTTGAAGAAGTTGAACGAGTCCTAAAGGAATCGGAAATTGTGTTACAGGAAATTCATGTATATAAGGTGAGCAAAAATATTTATATAGAAATTTATTGATGGGAACATGAGTATGCTACATGTTATGTACTTATGAATTCGTCATTACTACTTTCCCTTAAGTTCTTGTGGAAAGAAAAATAAAAGTAAGTAAGCATTTGAAAAAAATTAAGGTGTCTAAAAAACTGTATAATAAAAATGTTGCATTAGGATTCATATAATTTAATTTTGGGGTATATTCAATGGGTTGCGTTCTTCGCATTGCCATTGCAATTTTCCAACCAACTTTAGTGCTATGTGTGGCCATGAAAAGAATGCGACTCAAGCTTCAGGAAATTGATTAGTTTTTGGTGTTACAACATTCGGTAAAAGAACTCTGAGTAACACATTGAGAGAGTATACAAATTACGTCACTTGCTAATAATTTCAAATCAAGTTTGGGGGGTGTTTGATTTTTTGTGGTGGAGTAAAGATCGCTATATTGGGATCCATACATGATATATTATTAATATATCGATGATTTATAAATTAATTCCCTGTACAAGATATCAATGGTATATTAATGATTATATATGCACTTCTGATAAAACAACGTAATATTTCACTCTTTATATCTAATTCCGGAAGTTTCACATAAAATGTTCATATGTAGTTGAAGCTTAATGATTGAAACTAATCCTTACAGCTAGCTAATATGTTAGTTGGTTTTTGTTTGCTTAGCTAAAATTTCAATGTAAATGCGTTAATTGTATATATATAATATTATTTTGGCGAAACTTTTGTGGATATAAAAATCAATAATCAGTATTGAACGTTATTACAAGCTGATTACAAATGCTTCAATCGGGTACCCGTTCCTAATATATTCGCCCACATCCGCTCATTGTTTAATTATGATGTATTCATATATTACGCCTAACGCCAGACTATCCGTAAAAGTAAAAAATTGTCCAATTAAGCTTTACTTATGCTAGTGGTTATTTATAACACGGTGTCATTTTGGAGTAGTGGGGACTATGGACATAGGTTATTCACAGTGGATTATTTGTGGAATTTCATAAAAGTGTTAGAAACCACACCTTAAATGGACTTCATAAGATATTTCCATATACCAATATATCAGGTGAACTAAAAAATTCGTATTGTTTTATACAAGAACAAATTTATTTGTCAAAATTCTAAGCAAACACATAATAATGTTTTAATAATACATAAAAAAGGAGAAAAATTGGTAAATGGTATATGCCGTTGAAGTGGGGGTTGGAAAAAAGTTGATCGCCAAGTCTTTCACGATTGGAACCCTTCAATTGAAACAAAAATACAAAAAAAATTGTCTATCTTGAAAATTCTGCTAACAAAGCTATAAAAATTATGAAAAGGAAATCTTCGCTAAACTGCGAACATAACAATCTCTTTACTGTCAAAATGTCATGACATTTCACTTATCGTTAAGTCAAGTTAGTTAAGTTTTCTGATGAGTAAAAACACTGTTAATACGAACTAACCCCTGATAACTGTTTCGGCAAAATTAATGTCCCGTACTATTTTGCTGAATTTCGTCGTAACCACACGACAGCATCGTTGGGAGACCGTATATAAAATAAATTTGAGAAAAGCTGCCGAGTTGACAGTTCTTTGACGGATAAAACTCCGGGTCCGTTCGGGTCACGTAGACCCGATTGTCGTGGGAACGGTTGTTCTTTTGCGGTTTTAGTTAGATATAGTATAGTATATCTTTAAGATGTTTTCTTGGGCAATAATGGAGGTATTTTAATTAAATGTGTTACGGTTTTTAAATCACAGAGATGGTAATAAAAGGGATGTAAACAGTACATAGCTTTACCTAACATAAAAAAAGAACGATTATTATATTTTTCATTAAATGGGACAAATGTCGTAAACATAATTTTGGCAAAAATTATATTGTGTTAACTTGCATTCGTCGCATTCCACGGTGACTGGTGGAACATTTGACTCTAGAAATTGATTAATTATAAACTATAATTATGTGTTTGAAATTTACATTATAGTCAAATGTTTCTCATAATATAGAAAAATAAATAGTTAACAATATCCCTCCTTAAAAATCCTCCGGTTGTTGTTGTTGTAACGGTTATCTAGTGCCCGCTTAGATGATAAGTGATAGTTTGGTTGTCGTCGAGGTCATCTAATGGGAGGCCCAAGAAACAGGCTTTTTCGACGCGGTCGGACCATAGGGAAAAGGGTGTTAGATGAGTTGGGTTTGTTGGGCATTAAAAGAGGTGGTTAGTATCATGCGGAGCCTTTTGCACGCAGGACATATGTTGGAATGTCGGGGTCTATTCTGGATAAGTAGGAATTTAATATCCAGAACGAAGTTGCGCGACGGTCACTCTGGTTTCGCGAGGTAACTCGAGCTCTACGTCTGTTATGGGTGGTGGTTTGACTCCTGGTACGCCATTCACTGAGAGGGAGTCGAGGAAGGTGTTAATGGCTCCACTGTGAATGGCGATCAGTGCTTGTCTATAGTCCGTTGCGTCCGAAGTCCGGTCGGCGTACTGTTATTCCGTCAGGGCCAATGGATTTAGACCATTTGGCCTTTTTGAGGACACTCAGAGCCTCCCCATCGGTGAAGTCTTTTGGCATTTTGCGCAGCCGTCGGGTAACACATCGTTTGGCCTTGTCGGTCGAAGGGTGCAAGGTAAACTGCCGGCTAAAATAGCTCGCGCACTTCTTCGGGTCCGAGGAGGCATGGCCATCGAATTGAATTTCAACCTGGTCTCTTCGGATTAGACAAGGCCTTGACAGTAATCAAAAGCTTACTTACATCGGTGGAGAGATTGCAGGACTTCAGGTGCACTATCCAATTTGTCCGCTTATGTTGATTTACCATTTGCCGAATCTCCAAATTGAGATCCCTTATTCGGGGATTACAGGGATCGGCATGGCGTAAGGTGTCGCGCTCGTTTGCTAATACAGCTGATTCCTCTGGGAAATTTGGGCGGAGTTCCGCGATTCTTCCAGCCGGTATGAAGCGAGCAGTAACAGCAGCGATCACCTTGCGGAATTGACTTTCGCCAACGATAACGTCCGTAGGAATGGGTAGTGCGTTGAAGGTGCTCTCAGTAAATTCTGAGTCGGAAGGTTTCTCGATCAAGATAACTATGAGCAGATGGTCTGATGTAAAAGTTAGCATAGGTCGCCAGGTTATGCTATTTATCAGACCACCGCTAGCTATAGTAATATCGGGCGAGCTATTACAGGTGCCCATCATTCTGGTGGGGGCTTCCCGGCTCATATATACTACTATCTCCTCGTTCTTATTCTGGAGTCCGTTGCAGTTGAATTGTAGAATTCGCGTTTGTCGCGGGTGTTCAGTTGTGATCCTGGGGGTGAAGGAGGTACGTGTAGGTGGTGGTTGGTGCAGCTGTAATATCTACATGGGCGGTTGTCGCACTGTGGTGTTATTTGGCGACGCCACTTGATGGGATTGCTGGGGCAGACTCCTACAGCATGGGGCAACATTTGACGCACTCCACTCACGTGTGGTGCGCAGGCCGGAACACGACAGAAAGTGCACCAGCCAGTGCAGGAATTGCACTTGACTGATGTGACGTTCCGGAGTATTACGGACTGACACACGGAACAGATTGTGCGAGAAGCCAGGAGTTGCTGAGTGGTTCTCTAACTAACACTTACCCATCCAAACAGGGTTAGATCGCCGAAATAACAGCCCTTGGCCAGATAAAATCCGGCAATTCCGGTAACGAAGAACCTCCTCTCTTACCACGGTATACTTAGACATACATTTCAGTCCGACCACTAAACTTTTAAGCGAGATTTTCTCGAAGAATTAGATATATTTTAAACCTACGTAAAAACAATTTAAACAAATATATAAAGAAAAATTAAGTAAACGAAAATATTTAGCTTAACTGTTTCTTTTGGATTCACTTCCAGCTTCTATTCACTGTCGCTGGAGTTATATACTTCAGATTACTTTAACTTTTCTTTTGGGATTATTAAGATCTTTTTGTACTCAGAAGATGTTGCCTTCAGATTGTAAATGATACATCTTTTTCCGTCAGCTTTAAAATGACGGTGTTTTTGTACATGCGGAATCCTTTTAATGTTTTGATACTTTTTGACAAGATTTTTATGATGTTCTTTAATATCATCTGCAGCAATAAAGAAAATATGAAATTAGTTAGAAGAAGCGAGAAACCGATTTTTTATCGACTTAAAACAATTTTATTTTCAAATTAGTTAAATATAAAGTTTATAAATATAAATAATTAGAGGAATTTTACATTTTTCATAATTTCCATCTTTTGCATGGAATGCCCCATTTTAACCTTGTAAATAAAACAAAATAACATAAATATTTAACAAAGTTCAACCTTTAGTAACATTAAAAAAAATTTCAGGGTGCTGGGAAAGAGATACGTGAGGCTATTGCTGATCCTTCGCCCAAATGTCAGGAAAAAGCATGGGACGCTGTTTTGCCTTTGGTGAAGAAACTGAGACGTTGCTACGAACATTCACTAGAGCTAGAAAAAATAGTTCCGAAATTATTGGGTCAATTGGTTGGTGGTAAACTGAATCCTACCCAACATCTGGAGACACAACAAGCTCTAGTGAAACAGCTTGCTGAAATTTTGGAGTTTGTACTAAAATTCGATGAATACAAGGTAATTTATCTTTGTATATATCAAAGGTTTTTAAAAACTAAGGTAATTTTTCAAATTTACTTATATCAACGGATCCATTATTTTACCAATAATATGAAGCGATCACAAACTTGAATCGGAAAAGCGTTTTCAGACTGTAATATACTAATAATAACTTTGGATTCATAACAAATTTCATAAACTTCGAAATAATTCGTTTAATTAAAAACTTTAACTTTAGGAAATATGGTGTTGCAAAGTTCCGCCGAACACGAGCACAGCCATAATTTTCTTTATCACAATCCTTAAATAAAAGACTCTGTGGAAATTTGTTTTCTCTAAAATAATCATTAACAAATACCTGATTCTAAAAACTCAACGAAATGAAACCGGTAAATGGATAAAATATCACAATTTACATTTCAAAACATGTTAAAGCAATACCTCCAGTTAACGAATCCAAATATCAAAAGCATTTCAAAGAAAAAATGGCTTTCTAAAAAGAAAAAGTTTCAAGGCCTTTCAGTTATTTATGGTATATTATTAGCACACTCGCTATATACAGAGAGTCAACTCAAATTAAGGAAATATTTATAAGTAAATATATCAAAGGAGATTGTCTTCAAACTTATACGTAACCGAAACGGAGCCAGATCTCTTTTTGGGCAATGCCTGTCAACTCATATCATTCCTTAGAATTGTTTCAACCCCTCCTAACAAAACAACAATCGACGTTTTATTCAAATACTAGGTTTAAGGGGTTACATGGGTTTCGTCTGGTAAAATAACTCCTGATAGGATCATCTAAAATGAAAAAAAATATATATATGTGTTTTAGTTAAGATCATAAACTCGTGCTTGAACGAAGGAAAAAAAATTTAAATTGGAATTTTGGCAGACCTTTTTGCAACAAAATGAAAATTTCGGTCAAATTTGCTCGACATATTTTTTTTTAAATTGTTGTAATTGAAATAAAATCCTTCGTCCAACCACGAGTAAATTGTATCTCAAAAACCTCTATAAAATTTCATCAAGTTCGTTTACGTAGTTTTCGAGAAATCTTTACAACCGACTTTGAAAACACACTTTCGAGAAAAACGCGTTTAAAATTTTAAGTGACCATATAAGTAGCTGACCTCGAGCGCGCAACTTTTCAAAGATGTATCTCGGAAATTATTACTGATATCAACTTGAGAATTTAGGACAATATTCATTCTAGAGGTGTTATAGAATTAAATAAGACAATAAAAAAAAATTTTTTTTGAAGCCGTGAAACTCATGTAACTCCTTCAATAAGTTGTATCATCGATACCAATATGTAGGTATATACATATGTACATAGATATACAAGTTTTTTCAAACAGATTTCTTCAACACAAAATATTTGGCATAAAAGATAAAGATTATATATTAGGACGAAATATCGGCTACCAATCGGAATTTAACGTGTATTATGACGTTTAAAATACTTTGAAATCATTTCGAACCGCCTTTTGCATTGACTGGGGATTGTATTAAACCATAACTGATATACTTACATATGTATATATATACTTTTTAGATGAAGACACCCGCTATACAAAATGATTTCAGTTACTATAGACGTATTGTGACTCGACAGCGTATCGACCAGACAAATTATTCGTTAGTGAGCACAGAATTGGCAAACCGCATGTCTTTGTTCTATGCTCACGCTACACCCATGCTGAAAGTGCTTAGTGAGGCAACATCAAAATTTGTTCACGATAATGCCAACGATGTCGAGAATACGACAGAGACTCTTGGAACTATGGCGAAAGTTTGTTTAAGAATGCTTGAAAATCCGTAAGTTATTTGAAATCTAACAAATTTTATTAAGGTTTGACCGGGTTTTATCTGTTTGGTCAATTATAGCAAATTACTTCAACAAATTGAGCGAGAGGAAACACATCTGCTAGTTCTGCGAGTAATGGTTGGACTTGTAATTTTGTATGATCATGTTCATCCCGTTGGAGCATTCGCTCGAGGCTCACATGTAGACGTCAAAGGTTGTGTACGACTGCTACAGGCACAACCGGCTATAAAGGCAGAACCTTTGTTAAATGCATTGCGTTACACGACAAAACACCTTAATGAAGAAAACACACCGAAGAATATACGTAATTTATTGGCAGCATAATAATAAAAGCAGACAAGCGTATATGCGCAGGACCACACTGCCATGTACCCGCTACTATTTTCAATTACAGTCACTACCAAGCCCGTCACCATATGAAACAAATTATAATATGCATAAAAAAGGTTTTTTTATACATTAGTCTACAAATACAAAATTATTCCATGCAACTACATACAATTTTGTAAATTAAACATGAAGTATAATCGAAGTCTAATAACACACGTGTGGACTTCGAAACGAAAGCATTTAATATTAAAAACCGTAACGTTAGCAGTTTTAATAGGCACATTTTTGCATATGTATGTATGTATATACATTTTGTTTTTAGTCACTTATTGTATATGATTATAACATATTCATACTAGAAAACGCATAGCTCAGTCAGTCCTATTGTTAAAGTTTTATAATTTATAAGTTATTGAAATATCGACGGACACAGCCTACATATCCACTTAGAGAAGCAAAACGCAGAGTAAATCGCATAACTGGCATAATCCAAATTTTACAAAGGTATCATATACTAAGTTAAAAAAATAAAAATACGTCAAAGTTTAGTTAATGATGGAAATTTTAAATTTAGAAAATAATTTAAATATTTAGCAAATAAGATCACGTTTATATATTGATACAAATTTAAGATTCGCTTGATTATAAAATATGAGAGGTCAGAAACCCAAACTCAACACGAGTATTTTATAAAATACCAAAAAGTATATATTCTTAATTGACTTATTAACCAGTTTATTTTATTTATAATTATAAATATATACATTTATAGGAAATATATATTATTTTATTGCGTTTCTTTAGTAAAAATTTAAATTAATTTGTATATACTTAAGTATATGAACAAATGAAGTGCATTTATAACACAAACAACTTATTTGCATTATAGTGCATGAAGAGAAGAGAAATTAAGTACATATGCGTGTATATATCGAAGTATAATAGAACATACATACATGTTTTTATAAAATAAATATAACGCAACTAAATGTCGAAGCTAAATGAACGAAATTTGTACCGACAAAAATTTTTGTTATATATATGTAAGTATAGGTAAGCATGAAAGGAAAATGAATGAAATAGATGCATAATTAAACTATAACTGAACTTTTTTCTTGCTTAATTTGAGTAAATATATTTTGCGTATTTCACTCGCATTATATACCATTATTTACATACATATATTTATAAAAAGTCAAATTCTAGAAGACTTCATTAACTATTCGATTACTTTATTATAAATCGATTAAATAAACGAAAGATACGCGTTCGCAAATTATATATTTTATATTAGGAGTACAGGTTCAATTAAATCGAGTTACATTAGTTAACTGATTTATCAAATTATTATAAAACAAAATAATCTAAAACGGAAACACTTTAATAAACAATCCAATTTACAATAGCGGGATAAAGTATAGATATTATAATTTAAACTATAATTTGGTGCCAACATCGCCAATCTATAGTAGATATAAACAATATGTATTTTAACTAACGAATACTGCCGTCTAGATTATTATTAGGTCGCGGTTTAAGAATCAATTTTCCCGTGTCATCGCAACTCATATTGAAATCGCTAAGTACAGTCCGCATACGTGTCGTGATAATTTTAGGAGCAAATACTAGTTTATGTATGCCCATAACAAAGAGAATAACTGAGATAAAAATAGTAATATTAGGATTTATTATGATTTTATTAATATTTAATTTTATAGTATTACCCAGCATTAAGGTGGCAAACGTAAATATTGGATGCAATAACAATGATTCTATTAGAGGCACAATTGAGGTGCGGGGATCCCTAAGCCAATAAAACGCTCCAATAGCTGTACACATTGAAATTGTGGCAAGAACTACTGCAATTATATTATTATATTAATATTGCTAATTAAATACATCTACACTTATGCGCTTACCCCGCCATCGCAATGTAGTCGGCCCATAAGACGATACTACTTCCGTGAGCCTGCGCTCAAATGCTTTCAAATCTGTAAATGAACAATATATTAACTACGAACACTAAACAAAAAGCTATATATACATATATTTTGATTTGTTAGATTTGTTAGATTCCTTTTAACAATTACAAAGATCCACACATTTAATAAAAAACCCTATCAGTACCATAAATACCTTCACATGCTGATGGTTCCATGGTTCGAATAATTTATGTACTATGATTTTATGTTAAACTTTAAAAACCAAAAATTCTATATTAGTTCCACATTTTCTTTGCGACTTGTTGGGGCATTCAATTATTTCAATTAATTTTCTGAAGTTAAATTTTACATTGAGTTACTTATTAGTCCTAAAATAATGGGTATGTTTAGTTTCTGACAACTGATGTCAGTAACGTCGAGCCGCTTTAAGAACTGTCTAAAATTAAACGTCAAACAATCAGAGTTGCAACTTTGTTGACGTTATGGTTGACATTTAGCAGATGGTCATTGAACCAATTGAACAATGTTAGTTCCATTTGCCGCCATTAAGTTTTGTCTTCTTTGATTTTATCTCCGAAATAGTTTACAACTCGGTGGTAATTAAAAATTAAATTTCGCTGTTTAATTTTGAATTGATCAAATTTCTGTGCAACAAAAAAATGAATGCCGCAAAAGTTCCCATAGAATGGAAGCGACGTGTTAAAACTGAATACATGAAAATTAGACAACAAAAGCGATATAAACGAGCTGATGAAATTAAGGAAGCGTGGATCAAAAATTGGTTCGTTTTAATTAAAAATTATAAATCTAACTGTTTAATTACAACTTTTTCGAATAGGGAAGAACATAACTACAACGTTCAGGATTTATATTGCGATCCAAAAGTTTGGCATGCACAACCTTATGATCCTCCACATTTGGATTGTATAAAAAGAGCCGAGGTTTCGGGTTATAATGGTGCAGGCCCACAAAAAGTGCCTATTTGTATAATAAATGCTGTTACGCCAATACCTACAATGTATACATGGGCGCCTACACAACAAAATTTCATGGTAGAAGATGAAACTGTGTTGCACAACATTCCGTATATGGGGGATGAAGTATTAGACAAAGATGGTAAATTCATTGAGGAGTTGATAAAAAATTATGATGGTAAAGTACACGGTGATAAAGACCCATCTTTTATGGATGACGCTATTTTCGTTGAATTGGTACATGCTTTAATGCGTAACTATACTAAAGAAGAAGAAATATGTTGTGCGGGTTTTGGCAGTAGTGTTGCTAAACCGGAAACTCCAAAAACCGACACACTTTCCAGGGATGAAAAATCAAACGATTCATTATTTGATGGCCGAAACATTCAATTGATTGAAGAAGATGAAAATACGAAAATAAAGGAAGAACAGATCCAAAAAGAAAAGATGCCCTTCCCTACTCCTATTATTTTCCAAGCTATCAGTTCAAACTTTCCAGATAAGGGAAATCCCCAGGAATTGAAAGAAAAGTATTTGTAACATCTTTATTTGAAATATCTTAATTAAAATCAACACTATTAAATTCATTAGGTATATTGAACTAACGGAGCATCAGGACCCGGAAAGGCCGCAAGAATGCACTCCCAATATTGATGGTGAAAAAGCGGAAAGTGTGTCACGGGAGCGCACAATGCATTCATTCCACACCCTATTTTGTCGCCGTTGTTTTAAATATGATTGCTTCCTTCATCGTAAGTATTATACAATAGGATTTAATCAAATGACCAACAATCATTTAGGCAATAATGCCGATTAGTAGTGAAAAATACAAAAAAAAAAGCGCCAAGCGTTCAAGCTGCATATAGCTCAATATATTTCCTCTTTCTTTTTTCGTGCAATATACGTTTGCCAATTATTACCGAAATGAATCTTTAAAAATGATAATGATTCTTAAAATGCAACCAAAATTTCGAATCTGCAAATGAACTGCAATTTAGGTCACCAAATAAACGGTGAGTTGTAGTTAATAATACATATATATGTACTTAAACCTGCCATTTTGACTTAATCGAAATCGTTCACATTTTTCATATAACCAATCGCCATCATTACCACTGCTGATAACTAGTGATTCAGAAATATCAAATCATTCTATCTTTTGCAGAGCCTCAATGTTTCCATTTTAATGTGCACATCAAATAAATTAAAAATCTATATTTATGACAGTTTTTTTTTATATTCAATTACAAATATTACAATGACAACATATACATATATGCTCTAGATATAGGGAAGATCATGCATATTTCATGTCTTTATTTTTTACCATAAGCCTTTTAAAGCGCTTGTGATCCATGTCTATGTGGATGTTTTGACAATTAAGTATCAATGTATGTATGTACGTAAGCAATTGATTTGACTAGATTTTTCGGGATGCATTAAATACATTTTTGATTAATAAAAAATAAAACAGCTGTAGCACCAAACTCATGCCATTTTAAAACACGACACATCCAATCATCCCATTTTATTATGTCTTACCTTAATGTTAGCACACATACATTAAAATCGATGTTACTAAAAATAATCTCTGTTAACTTGATTAATTCATTGATATTTTTGATTACCTAATAATTTTTTGATTTGAAATAGGCCTTCAAGTGGGACATGCAGGGCCAAATCTACAGAAACGACGTTTTCCTGAGTTGAAACCATTTACGGAACCTTGTAGCAATGCGTGTTATATGTTATTGGTGAGTAATGTAGATTTTTTTTTTTACTTTTGGTTATAACTTTGATTAATTTTTTGTTACAGGATGGTATGAAAGAAAAATTAGCTGCTGACAGTAAAACACCACCAATTGATTCTTGTAACGAAGCTAGCTCTGAAGATAGCAACGACAGCAACAGTCAATTTAGTAATAAAGACTTCAATGCAGAAAATGGGAAAGAAAACAGTATTGTGGTTAACAGTGCTGTTTCCGCAGAAATCAACTCAATAATGGGTAAAACTTAGAAATATGTTGATTTTGGATAAATATTTTTAAAATAAAATTAATCAAATTAGCGGGAATGATGAACACTTCAAACTCAAAATGTGACTGGACTGGCGCTGATCAATCTTTATTTCGGACATTGTACAAAGTCTTTTTGAAAAATTATTGCGCTATTGCCCAAACTATGCTTACAAAAACATGTCAACAGGTAAGATTCACATATTCAAATAATGCTTTTACTTTTCATTGATTTTTATCAAATAACGAAATTTTTGTCTCAGGTGTATGAGTTTGCCCAAAAAGAGGAAGCAGAATTTTGTATTGAAGAATTACGTCAAGATTACACTCCACCACGTAAAAAGAAGAAGAAGCAACGACTTTGGTCATTGCATTGTCGAAAAATTCAACTAAAGAAAGATTCTTCCTCAAATCACGTCTATAACTATACACCATGTGATCATACTGGGCCCTGCGACATGAATTGTTCTTGCATTCAAACTCAGAACTTCTGCGAGAAATTTTGCAACTGCAGTAGTGATTGTCAAAATCGGTTTCCTGGTTGTCGTTGCAAAGCCCAATGTAATACGAAGCAATGTCCGTGTTACTTGGCGGTGCGTGAGTGCGATCCAGACTTATGTCAAGCTTGCGGTGCCGATCAGTTCAAACTGACAAAAATAACTTGCAAGAATGTGTGTGTGCAACGTGGATTACGTAAGAAACATAAATCTTTTTGATTATTATACTCCTACACTTATTTCGTTGTTTTCAGATAAACATCTTTTAATGGCGCCTTCTGATATAGCGGGATGGGGAATATTTCTTAAAGAAGGCGCTCAAAAAAACGAATTTATTTCAGAGTATTGTGGTGAAATCATTTCGCAAGATGAAGCCGATCGGAGGGGCAAAGTTTATGACAAATACATGTGTTCATTTTTATTTAATCTAAATAATGATTTCGTGGTTGACGCCACCAGAAAAGGCAATAAAATTCGTTTTGCCAACCATTCAATTAATCCGAATTGCTACGCTAAGGTAATGATGGTAACCGGAGATCATAGAATTGGAATATTTGCTAAACGTGCAATTCAACCTGGAGAAGAGCTGTTCTTCGACTATAGATATGGGCCTACAGAACAACTGAAATTCGTAGGTATAGAAAGAGAAATGGAAATAGTGTAATGAAAAAAATTGTTCGACAATATTTGAATGGCTTTGTGTTTATTATAAAAACATAAAAATTCTAAATAGTAGTTTTACTTTCAAACGGAAGTTGCAACATTCGCAATAATAGGTTTTGGACGTGATTTGAAAATGAGTTTTTTTGTGCATAAAGCACGAACTATGTATTCGGTGTTTTGTCGTGATTTATTTTCCAGAGCAACTGTGCTGTCTAAAATTGTACAATCAATTGTTCTATTTAGTGTAGCGTTGGAATCGCATGCGATATCTGTATCGTTCAATGAAGACTTCCCATCCTTGGTTTTAAATTTTTCAAGTACAGCGAATGGTTTTTCTAGTTTTTGCTCTCTTCCTTGCAGAATATGATGCCCAATTATAAGTATCTAAAACATAAAAAAAAATATTAATTTATTAACACACCCCAGCACCTGTCACTCAAAAGTTAAAGGATATTTTACAGGCTGTCCGTATTTATTATAATACAAGTCCCCTATGAATAGATTATGAATATTCTCTCCGGAACGAATTTCGAGATCTCCCTGAAGCTCAACAATTGCATATTCCTCAAGAGTAGTTGGAGAGGATCTGTAAAATATATATTTTCTATCAATCCGTATTTAGAAAGTTTAATCTTAAAAAACCGACATAAAATGAAAGACATAAAATATAATGCAATATACATAATTAGAAATATAATATAATTAATAAAATATAATTAGAAATATATTTTCAAATCAGCATCCTCTCTAAAACTACTATTCGAGTACTTACGTTTTTACTAAGATAGGCATCTTTCTATACCAAGTAAAAACAAAACAAAATTAACTCTTCACAGCTCTAATCAATTTCGCGCTTACTGTAGTATCAGCTGATTTTGACATTAGATACTTCAGTTATTCTATTACTTAGTGAACGTACCTATCCAGAGAAACCTGTATAAGTGTGTTTACAATTTTTTAATTAATTTACAAATAAGCTTGGAAAATGATACGTCTTAGACAATTGACTCGAATTTCTATAAATAAATATGTTTCTACAGAGGTAAAATAAATTTAAATAATGGAGCTGATTTAATTGTGAAATAACTAAAATCTTATATAAACTGGTGTATGCGAATTTGAAAATCCCATATGTATGTGCATATATACGAGTAACTATGCATATTAATAGTTTTTACAGCGTAATATTTTAGTGTGCAACAAAGCTGCTACCTTTAATGATGGCTGGAAGGTATGGAGACAGAACTTTAAGGAATGCAGTACATCTGGAACAAATGTGGTTAATAATAACCATGAAAGATCTGATAACAATATATTGAAGCGGGTTTTACATAAAGTGGGCTTCGCACCGAATACAAAAACGGTTAGGATTATATTTAATTAACACATTATTGTTTGTAAATAATAATAATTCAAGATTTTATTGCTTAGCGCTTAAGGGTGGCCAGTCACATGTTGTACGAAAGTGTAGCTGATAAAATAAACTATTTAAGTTTTTTTAAAGCTTTTGATATGCCTAACACATTCAATTCATGGTTTCTGGTTACTGAATTACATGTATGGATGCTACTTGTGCGAGCTATGGCTGAAGGTTCGGAATCTGGAGAAAATGGTCGTTTTATTCGAAACTGTATCGTAGAAGTTATGTGGGGCGATGTAAATACTCGTGCTAAGAAACTAGGCGCAAGTTTTCTATAACATTAAAAATTACATATAATTTGGTTTAAACAATGTTTATTTGCAGGCACATAACCCATCTAAAACTCGACAACAAATAGAAATACTTTCGGAACAATTTCAGGCAGCATTAATTGCTTACGACGAAGGTATTATGTCAGATGATCGAGTATTATCTGGCGCTTTATGGCGGCGGTTCTTTGCCATGAACTGTGATGACGTCGTAAAGATTGAACGTCTAGTGAAGTATGTGAGAGAACAAATTGTTTCCCTGGACCAGCTATCACCTGATGACTTTCTACAAAAACCAAAAATATCGTGGATAGATCTGGATAAAGTATCTGTTTAGCTGCCAAAATTATTAGATTATTCATTGCTGATACACAGTTTGGTACAGTGTGTTATGATTTTATTGTAATTCTTTAACATATCTATATGAATTTGAGAATATATGCAAGAAAATTAATTATAGCCGTATGTATTGTATTATTCGGATCAAATTCCTATGTCAGCAATCCCTTGATTTGTTATTGCTCGCAATTGACACTTGCATAAGTAAGTCATTACTCTGCGCTCGATATGACCTTTAATTTCGTTGGGAAGTTTGTTAAATAACTTTGCCATTCGCTCATAGTTTAAAATCCGTTCATGATTCAATTCACCTTCATTCTGCAAAATCGCACAAGCTCCTTTCTCGATATTCGAATTTGTAAGTTCTTCATATTCGATAATGGTTTCGTTATATGATGAAGATCCCGATACGGTCTCTTCACGTCCTTCTAAGTTCTTAGAATTCAAACGTATTTTTTCAAGTTTATTAATACGTAAACGTTTACTAGGTTTGTTGAAACAGACAGTTCTCTCAAGAAAACGCAACCTTTCTAGGTAAGGCCAAGTTGATCCTCGAATTGTACCTTCTTTAGGGCATAGTTCGTGACAATGGCGAAGTTCCCGCTGGAAATGGTTTCGCAGATTATTCCAACGACTAAGACAAAAACCAGCTATAAACACACAAAAAATAAAATAAACAATATTATGTTTCAATATTAGTTCTTACGGCTAGTTCCCATTTCTAAAGCAATAGTATTCCATATTCGATTTTTTTCTTTCATGGATTCGAATGTTGAAAGTCCACCCCATTGCCGATGGTATAGTACTGGATGCGGTTGGACCAGTGATATTAACTTAAAATCGAACGGCCGGTTTTTCTTGTGACTGGTTCTTGTCATTCTGTTCCAAAATTTCTTATTGATCTTTTACTATCTTAATGTCATTTGAAGAAACCAAGAATTAATTCAGAAGAATAACAGCATACCATTATTCTTGAATAATTTGTAAACATTAATATTGTGACGAACACTGATGATAGAACAATATCAAATCGACGATAAACTGCCAGAACCAAGTAGACAGCGAATTCGAAGTTGCCAGAATGTTCTACCGACGAACTATTATATAAGGACTAATATATTCGGGCTGTCGGATTGTGCAGCAAACACAGTTCTAATTAGAGTCTTGCCAATTAAGCCATAAGCAATAAGTTGTAAGCTCGAATAACGAGTAATAAGTGTAAAGTTGTTAAAATTAGAAATAAAAATAAGTGTATAGCCATTAAATTGTAAGTTACAAGGTAGACGATTTATCGAGAAATCCGTTACAATATTGATTTTAGGCAACAAATGTTATCTCGATAATCATAATGCCACATCTCCCTATGCAAAGTACATTGCTAACCATCTGCCAAAGACATTTCAATTCATTTTAGCAATGGACTTGAAAGGGCATTTGCTATCATAAAATACCATAATAATTCTCGAAATGGCGCCGGGTAATGTTTGTACTCGATGCTGTGGAAAATACTGTAGGATGATACTCGATTCTACTTTGTACTTAAAAGTACTTTCTCAGCTTTAAATTTCAACCTTTTTTCAGTTTAAAAAAATAAAAACAATAATATAAAAATTAATAATTATACATAAGTATGTTTATTTCTAACATGTATGAGTGAGTATACATATATTTATTGTTCACTGCCTCGTACAGGCTACTGTTGAATCGATTTTGCTTTATGAAGTAGCTAGTTAATAAAATCATTTTCGGACATACCGTTTAAAAAAGAACATTGACAAACAATGTATTCACGTGAAAGGCGATTTCTTTTTTTTAGAAAAAAATAGACGCTCACAAGGAACTGAATCTTATGAAGTGGTGGCTAGTGGACTTTTAAGTCTTCCCTTTCTAAAATGGGGTTGCTTTTAAGAGAAAGAGGAGTTACTAAAATATTAGAAACTTCGTCCATATTTTTTTTTGCTTCTAAAACAAGTTTCAAAAGATACCTCAGTATCTTCATCGAAATCACTACTACTTTTTGATTCCGTCTTCGTTTCCTGAATTTGGGAAGTTATACAATTAATAGTTGGAAGGGTTTTTGACAATGTAACATACTTTTCAGCAGAAGTTTGACGGGTTGCGAATTCGAAAGGTTTTAGTATAACTATTATTTGTTTAGTTACCTCAATTTCACTACCTAAAAGCATTTCTGATCCATTCGAGATAAACAAAATCATCTGACAGCAAATTGAAACCAGTTCTAAAAATCTTTGTAAAATATAGTAGGTAGAATTCCACTGGGTTTTGACCATTGCATAAGCCTGAATTTCCACAATTAAGTTAAGAATGCGATCAAAACATGGTTAATGACCAGATTTTTCCAACGAAAGAACAGTATTTACCATGTTTTACATTCCGCCTCACAAAATTTAATGCGCCTCAATTTTAAATCATTTAAAGCAAGGTTGCAGCTTTGTATATTTACGCCGTCTAAAAAATGTAATGTTACACCAATGTATGTTACTTCTCTCTGCCATCGTATTGGTTAATGCGATTTTTATATACTGCTTGAACATAATCGTATTTCGAGTAAAGTAAGCTTTTAAAATATTTTGGACCCAAATACTTTTAAATATAGTAAAAAAACAAGTAAGGAAGGGCTAAGTTCGGATGTAACCGAACATTTTATACTCTCGCAAAGTCAAATAGTATACTCGTTTGAGATTTCTTTGTGGATTGGCTGATATTTTCGGTAGAAGGTCAAATATAGGCACTGGGGTCCACATATTTAGTACTTAGGGGCTTAAACAGTTTTGGTTCGATTTAGACAATTTTTGGCCACAAGGTGGCATACTTTAATCGCATTATTCACGCAAAGTTTTATCCCGATACAGTCATTGTTGCCTGATTTGCATAGTGGAAAGTGAAATAATCAGATGGAATTTAAAATGGTGTTATATGGAAAGTAGGCGTGGTTGTAGTCCGATTTCGCCCATTTTTGCACTGTGACATAGAAACATGAAAAGAACGTTATGCACCGAATTTGGTTGAAATCGGTTAAGCAGATCTCAAGATATGGGTTTTCACCTAAAAGTGGGCTGTGCCACGCCCACTGTCTAATTTTGAACGCGGTTCCTATAAAGTCATCTCATACCATCCCAGAGATAAAATTTAATGAATTTCTGGCGTGTTTAGTGCTTGATTTATCGCGCTTTTAGTAGTTTTTAACAGTACCGTTATATGGGGAGTGGGCGGAGTTGCCACCCGATTTCAACTATTTTCACACCGTCAATAGAAGTGCTAAAAATATTTGCTTCCAGTGAATTTTGTTATTATAGCATTAGCGGTTTAGGAGATATGCACATTAAACCTATTAGAGGCGGGACCACGCCCACTTTTTTAAAAAAAATTTTAACTGCAGATGCCCCTCCCAAATGTGATCCTGTGTACCAAATAACAGTCTTGTATCTTATTGCGGAGCTTAGTTATGGCAAGTTATTTGTTTTTGATTAATGGCGTTTTGTGGGCGTGGCAGTGGTCCGATTACGCCCATCTGCAATACCAACCGTCTCACGGTACCATGAAACATGTCTACCAAGTTTCATAAAGATATCTCAATTTTTACTCAAGTTAGAGCTTGCACGGACGGACGGACAGACGGACAGACGGACGGACGGACAGACAGTCACCCGGATTTCAACTCGTCTCTTCATCCTGATCATTTATATATATATAACCCTATATCTAACTCGATTAGTTTTAGGTGATACAAACAACCGTTAGGTGAACAAAACTATTATACTCTGTAGCAACAGGTTGCGAGAGTATAATAATATACTCATACTTCATTGTTTTAGTGTACATACATATACAGTTGTGAAGCCAACAATTACGAAACCAATTATTTTCTATTATGTTTAATGTTTATTTGATTTTATTTATCTTAATATTTTTTTGGTAAATGTATAGCCTCAATGAAATTTTATTTTTAAATCGTCTTATATTGACGCGAATATTACAAAGCCGTGAGCAGAAAGTGAATTTTTTCAATAATTCTTTTTTTTTCAAAAAAAAAAATCCAAAAAAAAACGTTTTTTAAATTTTTTTTAATGCATATGCATTAAAAATAAAAAATTGTGATACATTAAAATTAATTCTTTTATTTTTTCCGCTGCTGAAAGGAGTTTGGTGCAAAAGAACTATGAACACCCCGGTGTTGGACCGACTAGGGTTATTTTTTTGAAGCGCAGCGGAAGGCCGCCAATGGCCAATTTGGCACAAAAGAAATTGTGACTGTTTCATTTCTTCAGTATTTTTTTCACAAGGAAATTTTTAACTCGCTGAACTGGTAATTACCGCTAATTGATCTGAATTCTGAAGAATTTTACCGCTACAACAAGAACAACAACTAAGTGACTTAAAAAATAAATATATTTGTAAATATATACATAAATTATTGAAAAAATTCACTTTCTGCTCACGGATTAGTAATATTCGCGTCAAAATAGGACGATTTAAAAAAATTTAATTTTTGAGGCCTCCTTTGTTGGGGGACCTAAACTATACATTTACCATTTTTTTAAGTATTGTCTATAGTATAATGACACATTTTTAAAAGTTTTACTTCTTTTATTCTATGTACATACATATATAACGGAATAAGTTACACGTGTGCTCGAATCGTTTTTTATATGGAAGAAAATGAAAATTACCATCACCAAAAAAAAATTGTCAAGCATCAACAATAATAATAATAACCATGTTAAATAAGATACAAATTCTATACTCGGATATTTTTTTATATCACTAGTATCAACAATATTTTCTAAACAAATTAAGAAAACCAAAAAATGGTAATAAACATAAACTTGACTTTGCATATTTTTTATCCATCCTTGTAAAAACGTTGAGGTCAAATACTTAAAACTATATGGAAGGGCTTCATGTCTAGGCATATAAAATTTAAAACGTTATTGGATATATCAGCGTGTTTACCATACAACCACCTTCTATATGATGAAGTTTTGATTAAATTGAAAATAAGATCACAGAAGCCAGAAAAAATGTACCTTGGTGCGATACTACTTTCGAAAAAGCAGCGCGAATTTAGAGTGAGCTGCTTTGGTGGAAGCATAAAATATAATATGATCTGGAAAACTTAAATATTTTGGCTTGATGTACATGAGCTTATTCTCATGTATTACCGCAACACTTTATCACACACTTGCAATGAATGTATGTAAATAGCATCCTTTTTGTTAATTTTTTCGAAATGTTCTCAAATTTTAATCGAGATTGTGAAATACATATTTATAGAATCGTTAGCTTGAAAAAACAAATGAAGGAAGAGAAGAGGAATTATGTTGCCATACATACATATTTTTCATAGAATTTGCTTCAAAAAGAGAATATGAAAAGAGGAGCAACCGTAATAAATTTGTCGTTGCCATGCTCTCCCTGTAACTTTTTAATTTCTACATTTTGAAACTCCCTCAACCACCAGAGGGAATTTTCATTACCTCGTACGCTGATAATTGCACGCAGACGAAGAAGCTTCAGACATGTCAGAATACTACACTCCGGACTATTACGGGATGCCTCTTGATGTCTCCAGTTGAACAGTTTCATAGCGAGGCCGGTATGCTTCCGGTCAGGGAACACAAGGAACTCCTCTCCAAGCAGTATCTGCTGGGATGTTTTCGTAGAAACTATCCCTGCAGTCGTCTGCTTGAAGCGGAAGCGCCTCCTGGGAACATTAAGAGGTCCCTCCTTGACTACGTCGACGACATCGAAGAGTACGCCGAATAGACTTCGGAAACAACAAACTTCAGACATGCACTGACCACCATTCACAGTGGAGCTATTAATACATTCACCGACTCCCTCTCATGAATGGCGTACTTACCACCCAAGCGGGGAATAGATAACCGCTACAACAATAACTACAACCTGATTGACTCAATAAACGCGAACAATTTTATTAGCGTCATGCTGGAGAGACCCGTTCCCACGACAGTCGGGTCTACGTAACCGGAACGGACCCGGATTTATTCCGGCCAAGGACTGTCAACTCGGCAGAATTCTGTTGCTACAACAACAACAGAGGGAAGCAAACTGGGGGATTATTAAATCCACAGCAAGTTTGCTACCCGGAAAAATACGGGACCTGGACGCAGGTGCGCAGATGTACATCTATCAATGAGAAAAATTGAACGTCACACTTAAGTAATGGCAAACTGCTTCCAGGATGGGCGACGGTTCCCTAGAGAGGGCTTTTTAGTGACCTGCAAGTGGCACATACCGTTGCCAGCATTGATGATGGGGAAGGTATTTTCCCACCCCCTCACTCGCTAAAAAGAAATATTCATCATGTGGAATATGAATGGAATATGAAATAATAATAACAAAAATATATATTCAACAAGCGATTTGTGTCTTTATCCTCCATATATAATATTTCATTGACCTAATTATTATTTTTTAAATTAATTTCTATTTATTTGTTTATGTATTTATTTAGAGGAGAAATAATAAATTATTATTTCAGTCATATATAGCATTGGTTGCTAGGGTTTTCAGTTCAAGAAGTTTCTACAGCTTTAACTATTTCGAGAAATCATTGTCGAGCCTACTTGCACTAGCCCTCACCCACGCGAAGCCATTAATTTACTTAATTCAGAATTTCAGTTTGAAATGAAATTAATTATATTTACGACTGGACATGGGTCAGTCGACATTACTCCTCTTTACAGGTGGTTTCCAAGGTTTAAATTGTGATACAGGTCTTTCGTTTATCTACATATCAGAGTGATCAGAGACAGGTTGATTACTTTATTAATATGTTATTAAAATATTCTACAAATTTCGTCTGTTTATGGTGGTTGCTGAATGTAGGTCCTGTATTAAGCACTGTCGTAGTTGGGCTTGATACTATGGCGTGTGGATCTTAAGGCGCGAACAGTTTATTGAACGAATTTGCTTTCATCGTATCTACCTACAAGTTATAACGCTGCAGAGTGCTATGCAAAGTGGTTTCTATTCTTATGAAATAAGTAAATATTGTAATTATTAACAAGAATAATTAACATTGTTACTTTCCTTTTCATTTTCACCTGAGTTTATTAATTTTCCTTTTAATTTAGAGATCAGCTTTAGTTTTTCACTTCATTTATTTATTTATTTGTGTCTTTGCTTTGAAAAATTTCACAGTTCACAACCTTACAAATTGAAAAATGATGGATGATATAGGACCAACAGCAAGTGGGAACAAAATCATTTATTGTGTCATTACATACAAACATTATTAAAAATGTTTTTTTAGGAGTTTTTCATTTGGTTGCAAATTAATTTTGTTAATTCCGAGTCTAATCCTTATGAGCACTTAATTGCTTACATAAGATTCTTTAGTACTTGATTTATATTATAAGGAGTGCAATTAAAATAATTTATATATGCGATTTTCATATGTTGAAATATGTTGAAATAAGTTTAATAAGAGTAGATATGAAAACTATAAGTCTTAATAAAAGAAATTTAATTCACTTTAGAATGTATTTCAGATAATAGTAGAAGTTGCAAAATCGCCCTTTCAGTGTTTTTCAGCCGATTAATACAGCTATAGGGACACAATAGATATGAAGAAGTACAATATATTATAACATTTTATACAATTTGGCACATTTTACGCTCTAAATTTATTATTATTAATTATCCATATTTTTAATATGTTTGCAATCGTATTCTACTATTTTAATAAAATGTTGAACAAACAATCTTAATTCAGCACATCTGCGTTTTGATCTAACATTTAAGTAATTTTCACAATTCTATACTTTAATTCATATACTCGTTCACGGTATTCTTTTAAACGATTTTCTCTTTAATATTTTTACACCATAATTTTGCACTTTTTTTACTACAAAATATTTATCTTCGTGATTCAATATAATTATTATCAATTAAAATCACTTGAAATCAACATTTTCTGTATTAACTTTTAATGTTATGCCTACGTGAGTATTATATTTACTTTTATTTTCATACGATTTTTCTTATAATTACTTTGAGCTTTTTTATTTTCATGATGTTTTCACTCATAACTTGAATTTGTGTATTTTAAAACAGTATGTATTGCACGCAATACATGCTTAGATACTTAAAAATTGTCTTAGAGCTAGTTAGAGGTTTCAATTTGTTCAATTTTGTTTGAAATCTAGCATATATAGTTTTAAAACGGTGTCGTGCAACTTTTCAACAGAATTCAGAAATATTATTCAATTTGTTTGGTACTAATAATTCTTGAAAAGAATAATTGCATAAATATTAAATCGATTGTGATGGTGAAAAATCTTACAAATAATGACGAGAATGCTCATTAATAAATATTCCTAGCCCCCTTTAAGTTTTAAATTAAAAAAAAAATCTATATAACATTTAAAAGTCCAAATGACAAAACATTCAAATTTAAGCTTTCAAGGTGCTGTGCGGAGCAAATATTTCGAACGCTTGTTGGTACAATTACCAATGTGCACGTGTAAAAAATTGCACAGATTTGATTTTATACGAATTAAATATTACATTTTAAATTGATTGCTATTGGGACTTCTCAGATTCTCGTTTTTTCATCTTTGTTTAGTTAGTGTTTTCAATTAAAAGCTATTTATTTGGCAATAAATGGATTTGATTTAACTTTTAAACCGTTCATATGCATACATATACATAATATGTTGCAACATAATTCTTGCGTTTATTTAATATTTCTATTACTATTAAAATAAAGAACAAATATGTAAATTGAAATGAGAATTTTCCGAATGCATTGCATTCGATGATAATGTGATTTTGAAAATTCATTATATGTTACGACTGTAAAACATTTAAAAATAAATACTAAAGTAATCACACTACAAACTAAACACATAGATGGTTTAACTAAAATAATAGACTTTGGCTTCAAGTGAAAGAATTTATAAAAATAAAATAAAATATTCATTGTAAAAACAATTTCAATGAAATTTTAAGGTTTATGGATCTTAGTTTTTTTACTTGGCGTTACGTAATAAACTTTGTTCGGACTAAGGTCGCTTTCAAGTGGTTTATCTACATATATATTTTATCAGATGACATGTGTGTAAATATTGTTACATGTGTATCGCCATTCATAATAATCCATAAAAATCACTTAATATTAGTAATTTGCGCGAATTTTTGCGTGATTTATAAATACTTCTAAATTTTATTTTTGGTCGTTTAAATTGTTCAACTCTTAAAATATACTTGTACAAATTTCTTATTCATATAATATATTGATGCATGTATTTTTTCACGTTATAATTAAAATAAGTTGTAGAGAAGTTTTGTATGCGCATATTTTGATCCTACTTGTGCTTCTAATCCGTTGGTTTTTGCGTTTTAATTTGACCTTTTAAAAATATTCTGGTGTCAAAAAATTCATATACAGCCCGATATGATCTTGGCTGCACAATGTCAATGAAATAATTTATAAAATAAACCTGATTTTTATACAACATATTATATGCTTACATAGACTCTTCTTTGACATATAAATATCCCTACTCATATCTAAGGGATACTTTAGAATATATATATATATATATATGTGTGAAAATAATTTGAGCAAATTTTATCCACTTTGAGTGCCCTTCAGCGATTTATCGGAAGAATTTGGATATTTATTTAAATGGTGCGACAGCAAAGCACAAACACACTTATTAAAATACATATAATACATACAATAATTGGTTCGATTTTTTCAGAACCCTATTTTATAAATTTAAAAACAAAAAATATAATTGATTTCTCAAAATTTGTGATATACATAGCTGCACTCGTGAACATTTAAATAACATTATATAAATTTTTACTTATGCCGTTATTTCAAAAGCAAATACTTTTTAACACCTCCATACATGGGAGATTTGGGCGATTTTTAAATTGTTTCAGGAAGGTCTTTGATTGCATATCGGAGTACATATTATGAGTATAGTTGTTTGGAAAACTAAATTATAATGGAAGTGATTTTCGGATATTCACTCCTTTGTATTTTTATCACAAGTAAATACAACACATTTTTGCAATAATATTCAAGAATTTGAATATTTATATTTAAGAGAGAAAGTTTTCATTATTACAATATTCAAATCATCTTGTTTCTAATTAGGATATGTTTAAGTGTCAATTATTTTATAGCATTAAGTTTTGCTTCTTGACCATTTAGATATTTGAATAAAATAATTGTTGGGAAATAAGCTGCCAATGTGAATAAGTAAGCGATGAAGTAAAATAGTTTAAATGACAATGTGTCATACTTCGATTTATATGAACTACGATCGGGTTAAAAAAAATCTTCTTCATGATTTTTAAATGTATTATAATTAGTTTTAAAATGTTGCTTTAATGAATTTAGAGGGTATGGTATATAAGTTCTTGAATCACTCAATTCAAACGAGTAATTTGAAATAATCTCAAATTTTATATTTCTTATAAATTTATATTTGATATTTATCGCAAACTGTGTACTATATGCATATAGTAATGCACATTTATGCTACATCATTACATTATTTTCTCATTTAATCTGAATACACTAAAACACTGTATGCTTTTATGCACAAATTAAAGAAAGGAGTGACTTTGATAATGTTCATAATACACCAAATATCATAATCAGATAAATGGTAATCGGCTAAAATACTTAGACAATCCCGGATATTCTCTTTTTGTTTGCATTTGGATATTAATTTATATTAAAGTTTTGGCTTATGTTTTCTCACTTACTAGTATTTGTATCTATGTACGTATTTATCATATTTTTAAATATTGGTTGGACGACATTTAATTTAACAACTATGCATTTCTTTTATTAAATTTTTAAATTGTTGGTATTGTTTTGGCCCAATACCTTTATTTCATATGCATGTATGTATATATGATAATCTTCATTTCTTTTTTCTTATATTTGCTTTGTTATGCATTGAATATTTGATTTAATCTCATTGTTTTTACGCTTTGCATGAGTATTTTTGGTTGATAATTCAAAATTGCATTATTTCTTGAGCATTTCGACGATTTCATATTCATCCTAATGTAACATAAAATCGTTTTTCTTATATAATAATCTTTAATTTGGTTCCACGTGATGTGCAAAATAGAGCAGATTTGCAAAAGTTGAGTATAGCTGCGATGACTTCCAGTCAGCAGACAGTTGGTGCATGGCATTGTCCATTTCTCTCATTAATATGGGGCGAATCGATTGAATCCACCTCGATACATGGTTGCCTATAATTGAAATAAAATATTTAAATGCATTTGATTATCATAAAGGAATAATTGTGCAATAGTTTTGAGAAATATGTGTGAAAAACTTACCCCATAGCCGGGCACTGGTCCTATTCCATGTCCTAAATAGGGGTCCGCATACTCTCTTGTTGCATATCTGGGGTTTACAGAATATAAAGGAAGTGACGTAAAGTTTGCAAAATTAAATTACGAATATTCAAGAAACATTTTCTCGATGAAGTGTTAATAATTGGGAAGTTGATTGCAGTTAAAATGTTAATGATATTATGAACTGAATTAAAATTCTTTTTTCCTTGATTCATATCTCGATTGGCATAAATAATGGGTATCTTGAGATGATTATTAGCAAAAATTATTTAGTTTTGTGAGAATTTTGCACGCATTAATTAAAGTAAATTCTAAATTAATCGATATTTCGGTTTTTCTTCTTTTCACTTTGCTATAAATAGAAAAATTAGGGAATGAGTGTGTAAAACCATAAGTTTCTTGTAAGATTATAAGTATATATACAAGTAATAATTATATTACTATTGCGGAAGTCTAGTATATTACAGTTGTTGTTATACTTGCGTTCGATAATGAAACAAATAAATGCTAAACAATGACGTTCATTATAATCTAAAATAGTTATATCTAGCAGAATTGAATTAATTTGTACGTTCGTCCTGAAATTACTAAATTTCTGTGCGTTGACTTCGATTTCATCTGAATAATTATTTACTATCAATTTATAAGAATGCAGCGTTTATGCACAATTACAAATATTATTTTAATCATATTAATGCATCAATAGATAAATTCTGAAACATTTTTTTACAACAAAAGTGTAAAAGTAAATATTACTTAAAAAATTCATAAAAAAAATTTATTCGCGAAGTTCAAGTTTGGTAAATTATTCAGTTAGCAACATTTGTAAAAAATAAAAAAATTAGGTACACATATTTTCTTTAAAGATATTCAATGTATTCAAACTTTAAAATTCGTAAGACAATGTTACTCTTGCTCTTGATCAGTTTCCTGTTTTTGTCAATTCTATCTACTATAATAAAGGTTGATAGTATTCGTATTGAGTTGTCTGCGATTGGTTGACGATAATCTTTCGTAAAGTACAATTTGGTGTTCTGTTGCGAACGGCAGCTATATTCGCTCAATTATAGCTGCATAATAAGGAGGAAATACTATTTTGCCTTTTATTATGGATTCAATCAATTACGACATTTATTTAAATTTAAATAAAAGCAACCAATATTCCGGAATTTTATTGGATTATGTACGCAATTCGGATTCTCACACTGAATATTAATAATTAATAAATATACTATACTATATATTCATTCGATTTAATCCTGAAAGATAATTGATTCGTCAGATATTCTGCCCATTTTGATGCACCAAACTACCATATTATAGTGGTGAAGTTTCCACACACATATATATTTAAGGACATGCTTTCTTGGTATGATGAATTGTAATTGAATAGTAATTTTACGATCATAGTAATTGATATGTTCAATGGTAAAAACGTTCTTACTATACCAAAAGATATGTTTTGGAAAATGCTACATAGTATGCAAGAGTTTGGAATAGCCTCAATTCGAATTATGGAATCATAAGTACAAAAGTATACAAGTTGGATGGATTCAGGATATAAGGTAAGTGTAAAATTTCGAAATATTGGTAGATGATTTTTATATCCAAAGGACACTTACCCAGCGACAGTAGCGTAACCGGCTAAAGCCGGCTGTGCAGCGGCGGCTGCTGCGCCATATGCGGCCCTTGCGGCCACCGCTGTGTATGTGGTGGCGGCTGTTGCGTACGCCTGCTGTGCTTGTGACAATGGAGTCTTTAGAAGCGGAGCTGTGGCCTGCAAATGGTCAGATGCAAATATAAATTAAAGTATCTCACGTAAAGAAAACCCCATTCAGAAAGATGAAAAAGAATGTGTGAAGGTAATAAAGTATTTTACACGTTTCTAACGAAGAACGAAATTGTAAGTAACTGGACGTAATCGAAATAACCGTTAATTAAATTAAATTGTTGGAATGGTAACTACTGGCATATACTCGTATATGTTTAATGTTTGATTAAAATATACAATATTAGGATGGAGGAATGGAAATTACATAAGTAGATAATTGGTATTATTCTAAACTGAAATACTTAGAGATCTGTCCACAGAGACTAAGCATGGCATGCCTAAATTGTAAATATTAAATAAAAAAGGTGTAACCCAGTGTGAATTTGTTTCGTACAGCAACATCCGGAAAATCAAGCCAAGCCAACCAATAACCAATATAAAAGTATGTTTTCAATAATAAATACACTAATGTTAAGAATAATAACGAAGTGGAGGGAAAAACGTAAATATTAATTTAGAAACAACCATTGAATAGGCATGCCTTAGAATACCTAGGAACAAATTTTGCGTATGTGATACATATGTATGTATGTACAATACAATATACTTGTACATACAAATAAGGACTCACTTCAACAAATACTTGCAAACATTAGAATCAACCAAAACATAAAAAAAATAATTATTATACATCTATTTAAGCAATGCAAACAAGCATTTTTAATTAAAAATTAAAGCAATTTCACAATAAACATAGTAGACAACAATAAAGGAGAAATAAAAACAAGAGACAACTTGTTGATGTTTTGAACAAATTTTGCTTATTTTGTTTACCAAAACGTTTTGTGGTACCGGAATGCGGTTGATCGTATGTGGGGAACTGTTTAGCGTTGTCACAGTGCGGCGCTGTAAGTTTTCAAGTAGATTACATGATTGAAATTGTTTTTGTTGTATTTAAATAACTCAGTATGAATGTATTACATATACATATATTAACATCACAACAAATAAAACATATGTCATAATACTATATATGTATAAACGAATACGTTTAACTTAAAATACATATATACATAGGGAATACGGAAATGCTTGCAACAAACTGGTTATAAATGTAGATATGAAGAGAGTAATAATTGTAAGAAGTTAAAGATCACTACAAACAAATTATATAAATTAAACTTACAAAACAAAATTCAAAGTTTGCATTAAAATATGCCTATTTTCATATTTGCGTTTTCCAGAAAAGTGTAATTCGTACGTACATATAAGATCCACAAAACTTTTTTTTTATCTATCACCTATCCAAAACTGGTTTTCCACCTAAACATTCAGAATTTTAATGCCACCTTATACGCGTTAAGATACAGATGTGTTGGTACGGAACATTTGTTGTGAACGAGCCTTAATTTTTTTCTGTTTGGTTGGTATGACATCTGTTAAACATATTCAATAACCTTACAGTGAACAAACAAAATCAAAATATTTGTCATTGTGTTGAAAATGTCAAATTTTATACCCGAAAGTGATGATTTGCGGAAAATCTTCATTTTTAGTTTCCATTTGAAGAAAAGTGCATCGAATGCGTGTCGAGGCAAATGGTGATCATGCTCTATCAGAAGCAACATGCAAAAGATGATTTCAACGGTTCAGAGACAATGATTTTGATGTGAGAAATGAAGGACGTGGGAGACCACCAACAAGTTTTTGAAGAAATTTTGCTCCAAAGACACGAAAGAAAATTAGTTTTGCAACGAATTGTCACTGGCGGTGAAAAATAGATTTACTTTAAGGATCTTCAACGGAGAAAATCATGGGTTAATCAGGGACAACCATCAACATCGACTGCAAAAACAGATCGATTTAGTGCAATGCTCTGTGTTCGGTGGGATCAGAAGAGTGTGATATATCATGACCTGGTGAAACTGTTAATACTAATCCCTACAGACAACAACTGATCAATTTGAACCATGTATTGATCGAAAAACGACTTGAATGGCCCAGAAGACACGGCAAAGTAATTTTGTTACACGACAATGCATCTGCACACAAAGCAAAACCGGTTCAGGATACAATCAAAGTACTTGGCTGGGAGCTGCTACCCCACCCGCCGTATTCACCAGAATTGGGCCTTCTGATTACCACTGTTTTTTTTTATCGATGGGACACGCATTGGCTGAGCAGCACTTCGATTCCTACGAAGAAGTCGAAAATTGGGTGTCTGATTGATTTCTATCAATACTTTGAGTATTTTTTTTACTTTCCCCTTTAAAAAAAAACGCTCATTATGCCGGTACATATGTAAACGGGATTTAATTCCCCTTTGGTGATGTACTTAATTTTCGATGATAGTTCCGATTTAGAGGATGTGGAAATCGAAAAGCAATGACTTAGCTCATACTGAAAACGAAATAAAAGGCTAATGGAATAACAAAAGCATAACATAAATAAGTATGTGGTTTTCGTAATCAACTGAACCCACCCATTTTTTGTCGACTAACGAATTATGAAAAGGTTTAGGTGTGATAAAAATTTATTTTGCAAGCTTTAGTTTACTACCAAAAAATGATGAAAATAGTTGAGACGTTGCTCAAGCCATCATATTCTTTACATTGCTTACTTGTTTCTTAGATACTCAGTTCACCACACATTTTCAGATTTAAAGTCAAAAATATATATCGTCATCTAAAATGCAAAATATCGTCTAATCAAAAATTCTAAATAGCGATTTTTTTTATTGCTCACTATTCAATACATTAAATATTACATATATTCACGTTATAACCAAATTCCAAGTTTTGTTTCAATATGGGTAGTGACTATTTTATATCGTTTGTAAACTTTATCTCCTGTAAACTTATGAAAAGTGATGTTTCGTTATTTGCATTTTAGGTCACTATGTATACCATAGGTTTGTTACAGTACGGTACCTAAAATCTTAATTCTAATCACGGTTTCATGGATCTTTTCATACATAATACTTGACTCTCAGATTGATATTGCAATTGAGCTGGCCATAACACTGTGATATGATGAATTTAAGCAATATATATGATGGTGATATACCAAAAGTAATATACATATGTTTGCCAAAAATAATCTTGAAAACTACAAAGTTAGTAGGTAGGAGCATAAACAGTAACAAAATGGAGTTAATATCTCACAACCCACTTGAAAAATCTGTGTGATATTTGGTATATAACATTCTTAACGGGCAACTCCTAATACGCTTTTGTAAATTATAGCTGAATAAACTCTAGTGATGCCATCTTACCATAGTCTGATTCCTATTAGCTTATTTGACTATTCAAAGGTATTTAATTAACTCATTTCTTAATTATGTGTAAACCTTTATATAGAAGCCTCGTCATGTCTTATATTTATTATTTATGGTTTGGTTTATCCAAACTTTTAGCATTTTTTAGGGGTTATTTTTGTTGTTTCCCTTGGGACATCAACACGTAAAAAGTACCTGTTGCTTGTATGGAAAGTTCAGTCTGATCATAATTATTCTTGTGCTTCATACTAGTTTTAAAATAGTTTATTTGATGTTAGTAGTTAGAATTGTACATACGTACATATATGAAATTTACATGGTTATTTGAATCGCTTTTAAACTTGTACATATGTATGTATGTACACCGCTTATGTAATTTGTATAAGTAAATACCTTTTATATACCGTTAGTAACACACAAAAAAATAATCATTAAACGTCTGAATACAGTAAAATACAAATATACAAATACTAAAGAATAATCGTTAGTAAATTAAAAAAAAAAATAATAATAACTTTTGGAAAAAAAAATGCAAAATTAATTCGTTAAAAGTATTGGATAGTCTCAAAAGTGGGAAAAATAAACAACGAGAGCAATGAATGATCAAAAATCGAGAAATCTAAAATTACATTTAATATGGCTGCTGGCTGTGCGGCTGGAACTTCTGCGACCGGTTTGGCTGCCTGTAAGATTCGTAGTACGATGTCAAGTTGTTACACAGATAATTAACAAATTTCGGATGTCGAATTAATTTTAAAATTACACTTAAAAAATAACTATTATATTACCTATTAACTAATTGAATTTTTGTAAAAGCATAATTTTGTAGAATTTTAAATTTACCTGGAATCGCAGGTTCGGATCAGCGGAAGCTGCAGCAGCTGCTAGGAAGGGATCGTAGTAGACGCTGTATGAAATATATAAAAATTATTAAGTCAAATTCAAAAATTCACATACCATTGCTTGTTACATTTTACAGAAATAGGTACTTAAAAGCAAAATTCAAATATTATTGATCGAAATGATTTATACTTTTCTCAATTTCGACCTTGAATGTTATGCGGTGGAATAACCTTAATGTTTTATCATGTAAAATCAAAGATTCATACTAAAGCTATTTTTGGAACTCACTTTTACAAACTCTTTCCTTTCTATAAATTCTTTCCGAAAATAATTTTCATTGATGTTTTCTAACTGTGTCAATCTGTGGTATGTAAAATTCTCTGCCCTAATCGCTACACCTGTTCAGCTCTTTCTAAATTAACTAAATTATAACGTCTTGCTTTTAACTCATACCAAATGCGTAGTAAAGGGTTTCCAGAAATATGACTAAACAGAAAATATACCATATTTTTTAAATTGAAATGCGGCACATTTAATACTTGCAAATTTATTAGAATGTCATGCACTTTGTTCCATACGTTTACTGAAAGTAGTATATCACTACTACAATTATGAATTGAGTGTCCTTGTTCAGTAAAACGTCAAGACATGCAGTCTTCAATAGTTTGAGGATATAAAATTATTTAAAATAATATAATATTATTAAAACATTTATGAAATTAGTTATGTGTAGTTTTCACATTTCAATAAAGCTGCCTATTCTAGAAGTTCTAATCATTGTAAGATAATAACTTTTCTAATTATTGCATATATGTACATATATGTATGTACACACTTCCGCCCTTAGAAGTTACTAATGTTTAATATGAAAACTATATTTTTTTAATATATATAAGTGCATACAATACTAATAGGACATACATACTTAAATATGCATAATTCTGATATAAAGCGCATGCCATTGTTTATTATTTAAAATACATACTCGTACATATGCTCTCCAAATCACACATAGCATTTAAAGTTTAATTCTTTGGATATAGTAAGTGTGTGAATGTAGGCTTTTCACATATATTTTGCATAATTTCATAGATAAAAGCAATTTTCATAACTACATTAAACTATGTATATGTATAACTAACTGAGCCATTAAGAAGTTAATAGCTGTGACTATACTACTCATACAACAGTGTGGAGTTTGTATGATATTAAGCAACGAAATATTGATATGAATCGACCAAATCGTTAAATGCGGTTATTTTTATAAATGTACTAAAATGCGCAATACAACAATACACAAGTGAAAAAAACAACATTACTAATACTTACGGTGTGAATCCGTGTAAAGCGGTACCAGCCGCATTGACTGCGGCTGCTGCATTTGCCGCGGCGGCTATGGATGCAGCAGCTGCAGCGGATGGCGATTGAGTGGCTGCACCTGTGGCACCTAAACGTGCAGCATAAGCAGCAGCAGCGGCGTTGGCTACCTGTGGCGAATTGGCTGCAGCGGCTGCTGAATGAGCTATTGAATGCAGTTGTTGTTGAGCGGCGCTGGTTTGAATTGCAGCAACTGCGTGAGCTTGGTTAGTGCCTCCTGCTGATTGCACTTGCAATGCTTGTTGCAATCCTAATTGGTGGTGTGCGGTTTGTTGAGCATGATGTGGATGATGGTGTGCCTGGTGATGGTGGTGGTGATGTTGTTGTTGCTGTGCAGCTACAGCAACGGCTGCCAATGTGGGGTTGAATGGTCCACCTACAACTCCCATATGACCGCGATGGATTGCTACACCCCGCATGGCGGCAGCGGCTGCTACAGTAGCTATTGGATTGACGATACAGGCAGCAATTGATTAAGTTCGACAATGTGCATGGCAGACCGTAGCGAATTTTTTGAGTTTAGTTGGTTATTAAATATCCCGTATTCGATGCGAGGATCAAATAATAATTGAATACAACATTTTGTTAATAATATTTTTTAACGTTAAATGTATATATGTATGTCGGTAAGTTTGTTAAAATAGAAAATTTGTTGAGAATGTGGATTGAATGATTCGCAACACATAGTACAGTTTTGTTAATCGTTTAAATAGTAGACATTATTCGAATTGGTCAGTGGTATCCATTTTTTATCAATATCTATTGGCATATTAATATCATTAAATTTATCATTTCACACATTTGAACAATGAACAAAAGAACTTCAAAATAATATAAGCTCAAGGAGGTTGCGTTCGTATTTCAACAAGCTGAGATCAGTAGCCGCAAGCAAAACAAAATACTGTTATGGTAGCCTTGACGTTCTGTTTCCACAAGCTTTAAGGCTATAAACATTATAGTTGCCATTGAATTTTCTTAAGGAACTGACAAAACGTTTTTCCACTTATATTTACGCACTAAATTTTTTTTAGCTTAATTTGAAGTTTGCTAACATGAGATTTAGTCGGCTTTTTTAAGTGTCGTTGCGGATGTAAAAAAATAATTGTATCGAGTGATTATTTAAATGCGATATACTTTATTGAACGTAATGATGACGGGTAAAGGGCTAATTTTTAAGATGAGTTGTAGTAGATATGATTCTATTAACGTGTAATCTTCTATTTAATTCATATGATTAAAAACAAGTAAGGAAGGGTTAAGTTTGGGTGTATCCGAACATTTCATACGCTGGCAACTTACCAGGATCAAATCCGGGGAAATACTTTCAGGTGTGGGCAAAACTTTATTTTAAAAATGTTTCGACAAAATTTAACATTCATTTTTCGACGAAATCGTGAATGGATTGCCATCAAATTTGTATCTTATGTATTTATATTATTAGTCATATACTAAATTAGATTTATACCTACATTTTAATTCTTGTTAACGAAAATTATATTAAAATCATCCTCAATAAGACATATCTGACAGGAGTAAAGTCAACTATGCGGTATAAAGTCAGCCGGACGTTCGATAACATTTCTATTAGGTGCTAAGGGCATTATTGATCCGATTCAATCTATTTTTGACATAGCCATACTATTATCAGAAAGAATTCTCTCCGAGTTTCTATAACATATCTCACAGATTGACCGCTATTTTCGACAAAAAGTTCGCAACAAGAATTGGGGTATCATATCATAACTGTCTTATAAGAAAAGTAGGCGTGATTTTTATCTGATTTTGCCCATTTTCACATTGTAATGTAGGAATCTTAGGATAATATTACCAACCAAATTGATATCGGTCGGGTCCAACTTTGTTATTTGCTTCTATTAAGCCTTCTATCTATACTATCTCGGGTGTAAAATTTTATGTCCCTGGCACATTCATCTATATATTGTATTTATCACACTTTTAGTAGTTTTTAACAAAACCGTTACACGGGTGAGGGCGGGGTTATAATCCGATTTTATCCATTGTCGCACTATTGGTAGGGTTCTTAAAGGATTTGTACTAAGCGAATTTAGTTCTTGTAATTTTCGTGGTTTAGGAGATATGTACATTAAACCTATTAGATGGCGGGGCTCGTTTTTTTAATTTTTAGCTAACAAGTGCCTCTTTATACTGCGATCCTCATTTATATATAGGTATGTACATATATTACTCTATATCTAACCTAACTCGATTATTATTAGGTAATACAAACAACCGTTAGGTGAACGAAACTAATATACTCTGTGGCAATGTGAGTATAAAAATACATATGTATGTCCAAAGCGATTCCAAAGTTATTTTTATTGAATCTAAGAAGGCGCAATTTGTACATACATATATGGAAGTTGCAGTGCAGCTAAGAGATGCGTTGGTTCCACACGTGTTTTGATGTAGGTTTGAACAGTTTTAAAATGTAAGACCAAACAAAATAATTAAACTAATCGAGATACTTATATGGTATATAAAATTATATTTATAAATAATTCAAGTGTCGAGGTGAGATGAAATCCGGGTGACTGTCTGTCCGTCCCTCTGCGCCAGCGATAACTTGAGTAAAAATTGAGATATCTTAATGAAACTTGGTACTAATACTGACTAATAGGCTTAATGTACTTACTTATCACTAAAGCTATATCAACCAAATTTGCTTATGACAAATCTTTTTGGCATCTGCTCTGACAGTGTGAAATCGGATTTATAATCCCACCCACTCTCTATATAACGGTAATGTTGATAACTACTTAAAGTACGCATATTTACAAAATAAATACGTCAAATACATTGAATTTCACAGCAAAAATGCTTTATACAACTCGGGGTCACAATTCGTCAATGGGCGCAGCACCGCCCACGTTTTCAATTTAACACAATTCAGTATAATAATATTAATATTATGTATTTTTACATTCCTATAATCAGCTGAGAAAATGAGAAATCAGGCCACAATCACGACTAGACCAATGAATATATCGGATAAAATTTTGCACAATTAGTGCCTTTGTCAAAATCGGACTAGCATTAATATTCGGAGATAATCTTTGTATGATAACACCATCCTTTTGAGTTAGAAATGTGGGAAATCGTGCAAAAGCAAATTAATATACAATTGCCAATTTTGCCAATGCCTGAAAATATGCCTCCTACAATAATCGACATAGTCCACAAATATTCTAAGACGGAATCGGCATACTTATGATCATCTACAGTATGTTCAACAAGAAATCCACCGGCTTTTTCGCATTCAATAATTTGAAAATGAAGTAGGCCTTGATTTTCAATAAACTTTAAGGCGCAATGTAATTGCAGAAAAAATCAAAAACGCAAAGATGTATTTAAGAAATGAACTCCGTTCACTCGAAACGTTTTGAAGTAGCTTTTCTTTGTTCATATGCAAAAGGTCCCAATATGTCTTACGACTTACCGACCTCAGAAATTAAGATGCGAACAATAAATCAATTAAAACAGAATGGTAGGGCAATATGGCGAAGTTTAACACAGTCATATGCTGAACAAGTAAAGAAGGCTAAGTTATGTCCTAGGAAATACCTTCAGGTGTTGGCAAAAATGTATATTAAACTAGGAGTATTACACTAATTTTATCCATTTTAGGCAAGCAGATACACTGTTATAAGAAAGAGTTTCTAGGCATATTGGCCTATAGATGCAGTATAAAATCAACCAAAAGTTCCAAAATATTTATGCTAGGTATATGGAAGCTAAGAAAAGTATTGACCCGACTTTAGCCGTTCTTGACATAACAAAAATATTCTTCCGAATTCCAATACTAGATCCACAGATTGACCGATATGTTCGGTAAAAAAAATAGCCACTGGGGTCCACATATTTGGTGTTTAGATCCTTGAAAACTGATAGTCCGATTTCGACTATTTTTGGGCGTAAGATAAAATAACTTCGGGGTACTATTTGTGCAAAGTTCTATTCTGATAACTCATTGATGTATGGTAAAGTAAAAGAATCAGATCGAATTTAAAAGTTTGTTACATGGGAGGTAGGCGTGGTCATCCGATTTGTTTGTGTAACCTCGCACACCATATTTAGTTGAAATTGGTCAAGTAGTTTCTAAGATATGGGACTTCACCTAAAGGTGGGCGTTTCCACGCCCATTTTACACCGGCTTCTAAAAATCCTTTCTCTACCATATTGGTTGAAAATTTAATACATGTGGCGCATATATTCAGTGTCTTATCACACTTTAAGTAGTTTTCAACTTATTATCTAATTTTGCAAATTTTTACAGTGTATGAAGACATGTTAAAAAAGACTGCTTATGAGCAAGTTTGGTTCAGTTAGCTTCAGCGGTTTGGCAGATATGTACATTTAACCATTTAGGGGGCGGGGCCAGGCACACTTTAAAAAAAAGTTTAGCCCACAGGTGTCCTTCCTTACCTTGGTCCCCTGTCCCAAATTACAGTTTTCTATTTCATTTAGTGCATTTAAGGCCGGTTGGGCATTGAATAAATAATTATTATATAATTTGTGGACTTTGTTAAGACACCTTTACATATTTTTTTCAATGACTTAAGTCGATTATTTTCTTGTTGAACCTACTTTACGTATGTATAGCTCTTCTTGATTAAGATGTAAACTACTATAACGCCGAACCTGAATGGTATCTAACTAACATTAATTATTTTTTAAACAGTACTTACACCACAGCAGGCAATGGCCTCCGAGCGAGTTTTTTTGTGCCTATATTAACCACATACATTTATTTTAAATTCGGTTATAAAAACATACATCTATGTATATCTACTCGTTTAATTTTTAATTTATAACCGTAACTTTAGAGTTTAATGATAAGCCTTCTAAATTATGCAACGTTATTATGATAACATTTAGTTGTACAGTATTTTCCTAATTTTTATTACAAAAACTTATGCATTACCAGTTCTTTAGATAAATTTATTTAGCAAGCATTTATGAGATATCTACCTATTATACACCTAATAAATATCAAATTAAAAAACAATAATGTGATAAGCGGTAACTAATACACTCAATGGAAGACACTGAAGGCAGAAAAAACAGCGTCACTTCACTTCGTTTATCGTTTTCAATATATTTTCAATGACGTGTGAGAAAAATTGATCTCAAACTCAGCGATTCTAGTACATATAAAAAGTTACTTAAAAAGCACCTGAAACATAATTCCATTGATGCTTCTTTTGTGAAATGCTTTTATTAAAAGCAAAATCTTTGGTCTATTTAATAACTTTATGAAGAACGATGGATGAATTTATCTTATGATTTTATATTTCATCGCTTTTTCAAACTATGTACTTTTGAGGTGGAATGTTTAGTTTTTAGTGTTTAATGTGAGGCTAGCATAATTTCAAAATTATTGTCGTAATGTAGTGTGAAAACCAATTATATGTGAATAGGCCATACTATATCATCCCTGGTAAAACTATCTACAAATCATTATTTAAAGTTCAGTGTGTAAGAAATCAGAAAGCATAATTATATTATGTAGCATTCGATCATACATACATAACACAAATAACTTAAGATACGATAAACCACAAAACGGGGCTATAATTCGTGTTTAATTTACACGTTTTGGATAAGAACTTTGAGAGAAATACGTTCAAATTTTGACAAAGATATCATTTTCAAGCACCAATATAAGAGTTACCACTAAAAAGTAAATAATAAAAAAATTACATATTTTGCGAGTTTTTCTACACACAAGATCCAAAATTAAATACATTTATTAAAATATATACATATTAATTAAAAGTTTCAAAAGAGCCTAGTTTAAAAAAACTTTTTTCAATAGCCCTTTTTGACAGATCACGCGTGAGTCGTGGCAAGCTGTCATGCTATTTTTGTTCAGTATTGTTTGGCATTTCATCATGGAAAGATTTAGGTTTGAACAACGTTTACAAATCGTTCAACTTTATAACGAAAATTCACGTTCTGTAAATAATGTTTTTCGGTCTATGGGCTCCTGAAAAGTTCCAAGAAGATCCGACGTTTTTGAGCCACATTTTTCTCAGCGATCAGGCCCATGCTGGTTTGAACGTAACCGTCAATGGCGTTATCCCGCCATGATAACCGACTATTTGATGCCTGAAATTGAAACTCGTAATCTCGACGACATTTGGTTTCAACAAGACGGCGCCACTTCCCGCACATCGCATCAATCAATGGACTTATTGAGAGAACATTTTGGTGAGCAGATAATTTCAGGTTTTGGGCCGGTCGATTGGCCACCATGAGCGTGTGATATGACACCGTTAGACTTTTTTTTGTGGGGATATGTAAAGTCTAAAGTCTATGCAGACAATCCCGCTTCGATTCAGGCTTTGAAGCAAAACATCATGCGTGTCATTCGCTAGTTACCAGTCGGAATGCTCGAACGAGTTATCGGAAATTGGACTCAACAGTTTGTCAGCCATAGCATTCAACCATTACTTGGTTAAGAATGTGCATTCGCACATTATACGAAAAGATCTAAGCCATTTATTAGAATTGGAATGCTTTAAATTATGTATATGAGCATGTCACGTGGTGTTGCTACCTATCTATGGTTATATTTATAGTGAAGTTATTAATTTGTGTGAAACAGCAAAAATATGAAGCTTTTGAAGGACTTATTTAATCTATTATGGTATATTCAACAGTGCTCAGATTTAGTTTTTGGGAAAGGTAAATTTACTCAAAACTACTGTTTCAGCACAGAAATAAAATTATTTTGAATTATTCGATACTATTACAAAATCTACTACTTAATGGTTTTTATACTTTTTTTCTTATTTCTTTTACAAATGCAAACTTTTAACATATACATACATGCATGTTATATGTATGTAGGTATATGTAGTAACGAATGTTATGATTAATTCATAAATTTAAACTTTCAATAAAACATTAATGGAATAAGAATAATATAATTATGAGTAAATGGGAAAAAATGAAATGCACATGAAAACATTAATGAACAATAAGTAACAAAACGGTCAGATAATTTCTTTATGTGTATTTACTACTAAAATGTGATTTAAGCCTACTACTTATAACCATAAAACCACGAAATGAGATACTAGTTTATATAAAAGCAGCAGAAATAAATTAATAACAACAACTCAAATTTTTAAACAGTATTTGTTTTATAAATATCTAAAAATTATTGAAATATTATTATAATCAGCTATTTTTAAGACACATGAGGATGATAATATATTATACACTGGTATTTCTTATCCACCGAAATAATGGAATAATATAGGGATATTAAGGTAGATGGATACAAGATCTAATTTTTTCGCAGTATACTTGGTTCATTGTACTATTGTAAGATGAATTGACTCTCAAATGTTTATATACTCATTCTATCTTCAGCACCTTGACATACATACAACACAATAATTGTATCCCTTTTCCTAAAATCATCCAATTAGTAAAGGTAACTCGAGACCAAATGTAATATATTCATAAGATATATTGTTTCTACGTGTCCTAATTTTTTTGAAGCGTGTTCAGTGCTTGGCACGGCTATTATGACGAGCACGGAAATTAGGAATAATTTTTTAAAAATAATTTTACTTTGTAATTAACGTCACGAAAAAAACTTTGAGTTTTCCAAAAGAGCTGTCATTAATCAGATACATTTATACCCACATATGTAAAAATTGCACTTAAGATTGTTACATAAAATATAAGGTTTGAGGTTTGCTTACCTTCTGGCCATTGAACACACACTATCGAAGGAACATTATGTTTAAGTTTCGTAATTGTCGTTGTTGATCGGTTGCACGGTGAGTGGTGTTGATAATTACAGCAAGTATGGAACCATATAGAAGGAAAGAAAATTACAATATTTAGATGAAAAAATTACAACCAGGGTAGAAGTTTAGTTTACCATATACGAGAATGCCTAAAAATCACTTTTCGTTTCTATAATATAGAGCAAACGGCTATTATGTACATTTATGTATATATTAAGATACCTTTGTATGTAAATGCAATTATATTTTCATAAACGAGCATATGAGCATACCCCAAACTACTAATATATATTTTCTCTGCTGTTACCAATTTAAAAATGCAACAATTTGTATGTCGTAACATGCGATTATGAAGATGCAATCACCATAAGGTTATCTTAACACATATGTGCAATTCAAGATTGATTTTATATATTTGATGTAAAAAGAACTTGAGCATTCCGAATAATATACCAAGGTACGTAATAGAAGTATGACATGCGTATGTTTTTAATCCAATTTAATGCATTTCGATCAGATATCTTAGTGTAATATATTAACATTTTTACACTATTATATAATAGGCGGTGGGAACAATAAAACAATTTTTGTGCCGAGTATTATCAGTTGGATATAGCTTAAAGTTGCAGTATATACCACATACACGTTCTAATTATTTAAACCATATATACTCCTCTTTGTACATATACATACTTGCATGTATATGCATATTGCTTGGATCGTGCCATATGATAAATGGCTTAATGATGTCATTTTGTAAGCAGTTATTAATTTTAAAAATTTACAGAGTTAAGTTTCACAATAACTATTAAATTATGGTGTATGCATTAATTCGTGCGGTTTTCTAAGAGAGGGCTCTACTAGTATTATTTCGCGTCGTATTAATCTGTGGCTATATTCATTTCAAAGGTACTGCCATTTCGCGTCGTTTTCAGTAGATATAAATTGTTTGAGCGTGAACAATTTGTTTGCGGGGAGTTCTTCTTCATTATTTTAACATGAAGAAAAGTGCTGCCGAAAGCTATCGTATTTTACTGGACGTTTATGGTGACCATGCTTTAGCCGAACTAACGTGCCAAAAGTGGTTTGCACGGTTTAAAAGTGGCAATTTCGACTTAGACGACGGAGAACGACCCGTACAGCCAAAAAAACTTCAAGACGAAGAATTGGAGACATTTCTCGACGCAGATGCATGCCAGACGCAAGAAGAACTTGCGAAAGTATTAGGAGTTGATCAAGCAACCGTTTCCAGATGATTAAAAGCATTAGGATTCATCCAGAAGCTTGGAAATTGGGTGCCTTATGAATTAAAGCCAAGAGACGTCGAACGTCGATTCTGCATGTCGGAAATGTTGCTTCGACGCCACCAAAAAAAGTTTTTGCATCGGATTGTCACTGGCGATGAAAAATGGATTCATTATGATAACCCAAAGCGCAAGAAATCGTATGTGAAGCCCGGCCAACCATCAACATCCACGGCAAAGCCGAATATCCATGCTGCTAAGGTTATGCTATGTATTTGGTGGGACCACAAGGGTGTGCTCTATTATGAGCTATTGAAATCGGGTCAGACGATCAATGGGGACCTCTACCGAAAACAATTGATTCGTTTGAAAAAGGCCATCGCGGAAAAACGACCAGACACGAATCAATAATTTTTCATCATGACAACGCTCGGCCACATGTTGCAAGGCCAGTTAAAAACTATTTGGAAAACTGTGGGTGGGAAGTTCTACCTCACCCGCCTTATAGCCCAGATATAGCACCTTCCGATTACCACTTGTTCAGATCAATGCAGAATGCCCTCACCGGAGTACGCTTCTCTTCAGAACAGGGTATCAGAAATTGGATTGATTCTTTCTTGACCTCCAAGCCGGAGAAGTTCTTTTGGGATGGGATCCACAAACTGCCAGAAAGATGGGCAAACATCATAGCTTCCGATGGGCAATACTTTGAACATTGCTACAGAGTTTAATAGTTTTGTTGACCTAACGGTTGTTTAGTTAGACATAGGGACATATACATAAATGATCAGGATGAAGAGACGAGTTGAAGTCCGGGTGACTGTCTGTCCGTCCGTCTGTGCAAGCTGTAACTTGAGTAAAAATTGAGATATCATTATGAAACTTGGTACACTTGGTACCATTCGAACCATTGCCATGCCCACAAAACGCCACTAATTGACCTAAAACCAATAAAATGTTATAAATAAGCTCTACAATAAGATACAATACTGTTATTTGGTATAACGAATAGCATTCTCCTTAGTCGCTTAAGCTATAATAACTTAATTCATTGAAGACAAATCCTTTAAGAACTCCTAGCCAAAAGTGCGAAAATGGATATAATCGGATTATAAACCCGTCCTCTCACTATATAACGGTTTTAATAGAAACTACAAAAAGCGCGATAAATCAATAACTAAATGCTTCAGAAACATAAAATTTTACGCTCGACATGGAACGAGGGGGCACACATTTAAATTCCATCTGATTTTTCGACTTTCCAGAATACAAATCAAGTACTAATGAATTTATTGAAAAAAAAACTTTGCAATAAGAGTGTCTTCAAGATATGCCATCTCAAATCTAAAAATTGTCAAAATCGGGCTATAACTGTTCAAACCCCCATATACCGAAAATGTGGACCGCAGCGTCCATGGTTGATTTTTTTTACCGAAATTATCGTTCATTGTATGAGATATGGGATTGGAATACTTGTCCTAGCCTCCATATTAATTATATCAGGATTTACAAACATCCGGTTGACTTTACTCCTTATATATTGGAAACTCAGAAATAAAATGTTTTTGGTTAGTTTTACAAATTTTATGCCGAATATGTCGGTCAGTGTGTGATTATTTATTTATGCTAGGAAATATGTTCTCGAGTATACTTTAACAATGTAAAAGGTTAATGCAACAAGCTCCGACCTTTCTATGAGATAAAAATGGCAATATAATGTTATGTACCGAATTTAGTTGAAGTGGGTCAGATAGTTCCTGATATAAATCAGGAATTTCACTTAAAGGTGGGTGGTGCAAAGCTCATTGTCTAATTTTGTCGGACCTCCTATGTCCTATGAGGCTCTTCCGTAACATATAGCATGAGAAATTTAATGCTGACGTATTTACTTAGTGAGTTATCGTGCATTAAGTAGTTTTCAACGTAACGGTTATACGGAGAGTGGGCGAATTTTTATATGATTTAACCCATCTTCACAGTACATAAATAAATATTTAAATGACATCAGATTATGATTTCAGCAAGTTTGGTTAAAATAGCTATAGTGGCTTGTGAGATATGCATATTAAACCTATTCGAGGGCGGGACCATGTCTATTTTTAACAAATTTTCAGATTACAGATGTCCTTTCCACTGCAATATATTTTATAAAATAACGGTTTTGTATCTTAATTTTGGAGTTTAGTTATAGCTCTTTATATGTTTTCGCTTAACGGCATTTTGTGGGCGTGGCAATGGTCCTATTCCGCCCATATGCAAAATTGCATATTGCGAAAGTCCAAATATTCAGGTTCCATGCAAAGTTGTAGTCTACTTGTATAGCATAAGCATTCCGTAATGTATTGAAGATTTAACTTTTTTGTAATTTGGTGTTGCCTTCTTCCCAAAAATAAATAAATCGCTTCAAAAAAAAGGAATGAAAAAACTGTATTTGAACATGCTCTGTTTAGAAGTGCATACACATACACATGTATACCATATGTACCAAACATGCATATGATTATTGTAGAAACTAATTAATTTGTTTTAAATAATTTTTTTTTACACTTTCTTCATTCATGTTATTGTGTTATTTACAGTTTTTTGAACTAAAAGACAAAATATTAGGTTATTCAATTTAACTCATAAAAATTCTGCTCACCTAGAGCTGGAGCCGGTACGGCACCGTCTTTTGTCAGTACAACTGCGTATGATTTAAAAACAAGAATATTTAATATAAATTCATTTCAGCTTAAAAATATATGTTGTAAGTTAGTAAACAAGCGAAAACATAAACGTTCTTATTTTAAACCCCTTTTCAAACGATATATGTATTTAACAATTCATTTGTTAAGATATGCCTAAGTTGTAAAGAAAATTATCGATAAATTAATAATAAAACATATATATAATTTACTATCGAACTTTACGAGCCAATGATGAATGTTATATTCACATAGTGTGATTTTATTTAATATGTATTATACATACAAGAAATAATAGGGGGATGCGTGAAAGAGCATGATTTTATTAAAATTCTGGAATACAATACATTAAAGGCTTTAATACATTTTTTTTATTTTCTTTTGTTCTAAAGTAAAGTAAAGTAAATTTATGACTTTGGATTTAGTAAATGAATAACTTGGTAAGATGGTGTAAGACCATATGCGCAAGTAGGATTCTCCTTCTAGGAATAACATATACATGAGAAATAGCAGTCTAGTTAAATATCTATTTGGTATAAGGCAAATACTTTCAGACTAACCATAATCGGTATTATTTCCTTTTAACTTCCAATTCATTTATTGGGTAACATTCTATGTGATCCTAAACTGGTACGACCGCTATGCTAAACAAAAATTTTACTACATCCAAGATAAAAAAGAGACTTAGTTTTTAAATATTTTATATAACAACTTTTTACTTCTGGTTAAAACTTAAATGCTATAGCACGGTTCCATCTAAGGACGCTCTTATTAAATTTTGTGTTTAACCAATTTCATTTTATACGAGCTTCGATAACATGATACTCATTAGCTCATATTTATGCTCGGGAGCATATATGTTTTTTTTACATAGTTCTCAATTATAATCTGATAAATTAACTTTGAAGATAAGATCTTAAAACCTATATGATTTGTTTAGGTTAGGCAATTAAACGCCGGATAATTTAAAAATAAGATCTTGTTTTCTTCATAAAACTTACCATTTGGAACAGCAGTTACTTTTTTGGTTTGTACTCGAGCGGTAGCGTTATTCACCTTATTAGTTGAAGTTGGATGTATAAGCAGATGGTTTCCAAAAATTGAAAGTTTCAAAAAGTTTTAGACGATATATTTGGTTTAGACATATGTCATTTTAAAGAGTAAAATATATCTTATCCATCTAGTGTTATTATTTTTTTGACTAAGGCTACCTTAAATATACATTTGCTTACTTTGAGGAACGCTTCAATATTCAACAAAGTATACATCGCCCAGTTGATGGCGTCCAATTTTCAATGATGTTTGCACTCAATAGTAATATTCCTGGTCATAGCTGAAATTTTGTATTATTTCTTTTTTCAAATGTTTACATTTATGGTATAGCGATAGCTGTATGGCGGACATGTGGGACATCCGCAGGCAAATATTCAATCAATGAAAAACAGCAGCAGAATCACACACGCAATTAAACAAAAAGTTTTTACAGTGCATTTATGTACATACATATATTCAGAAAAGTAAATTGATAAACGTTCAAATATTATATGTATGTAGGTATATTATTTCCGCAAACAAAATTAGGTATGCATGCACCCAAATACATTCAAATCTCTTTCAAATATATAAACACGTACATGGCATCCATATGCACACTTATATTTATGTAAGTACTTGTATGTGTACTCGAGTATTGGACAACAACTTTGACCTGCGGCTCTATTAGCTTAAGGATATGGACGATTAATATGATAGTTTTCTTTGATTCGCGAAATCTTAAAGAGGTACGAAACTAACAAAAAACTGGTATAAATTCGATATACATATATATATATATTCAATTAGATAACTTTGATGTATTTTTGACAAGATTGCTCGAATTTAACGAATGGATGAATAATATGTTATACAATTGTTATACAAAACCTTGACGTCAGAGACATATACTTCGAAACCATTAAAGTAGGTACTTAACCTAGATCGTGTCTGAAACGTTCGGTTTAAATGATATTGCCTGATAAAACCTACTCTAACTAATGGGAGCTAATGTATTGTTCACAATTCAACAAAGGTTTTCTCTATTTTATAAAATTAAAAACAGTTGATATTTTAAATTTTTAGCTGTGAGCCAAATTTATTATTATATCCGTTGCTGTTGCTATTTTCATATTTACATTTTTTGTCTTGATAAGAATACTTGCTCTCACTGACATTTTATAGTTTGTACAAAAGGTTTTGTACGCCTAAAAGTGCACTTGTCATCCGTAAGTATGCTTCACACCAAAGTAGGTTATGCCGTTGTTGTAAGTTGCGAGGCCAATGAATTGCATTGTGTTGCGTCCCGTTAGTCTGCTGGAGACCACATGGCGTGGAACAGTGAATTCTCAATTAACATCAACAGTAGTTCTAGTTCACCATGTGTTAAACTACTTAAGCGATTGTTTATGTTTATAGGGCGAAATTAAAAACATTCTTTCATTACAAATTTTACATCACAAATATAAAGAAAAACTAATTCCGAAAAGTACTAAAAGTATATTAATTTCGCAGAATATATTATAATGCATGTAAGAGCATTTTCATTATTTATGTACATACATACATACATACATATGCAAACACATCTGTATTAATGGGCGACAAGTATCAGATGAATCTGGGCTTAAATCGGCTTAGTAATATCACGAACAACAAAGGCATTCCGGAAAGTGAAGGTTATTATTCGGCTAATAGCATAAAATTCGCATAGAAAACGAAATCCAAAATATTTACAGTTTTAGTTTAATGGTTTATTACTGAAAGTTTGAATTAGAGCATTGATTAGATAAGTTGTTTAAATTGTTAAAAATTTAATTCGGAAGCAAAAATATCGATAAAGACAAAAATCAAATGGCAGAGATCCAGTGCTAGATGTAAAATACATAAATCGGATATAATTTTTGTATGTTACAATAATTCAAAACTTGCAGAAAATCATTACAAAGCCAGTACGTTCTCTGATTAAAAACACGTAATTAATTTGAAATCTCAAACTGATTCCATATGAACATAACTATAAAAAATACACTGTATAATTACAATATCTAACTATTTGTAGTTGCTAACCATTGTAGCTTCCTTTTCATTCTAAACAAAGTACAAAAATATGAAAAAATTGTCTTTTCTAACTTACAAAATGGTACACTAGAATTTGTTCAGAAGAAGTTTTCGGCAAAAATTAAGGAAAACAATATTTAGACAAATAAATTTTCTGTAACTAAACAGTTGTTCAAACCTAATATGACCCCGCCCACTTAATGTATATAGAACATAGTTACATAGCCTTGCATATTTCTTACATAAGGAGTTATACAGATATCAACCGGCTGAAGTATCAGTTTGCAGTGCAATGGAATACCCGTCCGGGCATTTAAAAGGGATATTTGAAGGCTTCCCAGCTTCTTCTTGAACGCTCCCAGAATAAATAACTTCTTTGGGATGCAATGACTTAGGGAATGGGGGTTACTAACTGAAATGCGTCTCTATATGGATATTAGAGATATGGTCTACTCCGAATATTTGATATTTTTACCTGATATACAAATCTTATTGTGCCTAGTTAATTTCTATATGATTTTTCATTTAACAACGATAAATTACATTACGCATTATAAAAAGGACATTTTTGCAGTAAGTACCTCAAAGTAAGCAAATTTTTAATTAATAAATACTAAATTAATTGTTATTTTCGTATTAATTGTTACACAAGAATGTGATCAATAATATCCGCATACTGATAAAGTAGTATACATAGTAAATACGTACAAAAATGCAATAAATTCATTTAAATGCAATACTAATAGTATTCGTACATTCATAGATATGTATATATAAGGAATTTATTATTTATATTTCTGATTTTTGGCACTTTTCGTGTTGTCAAGAAAAATTTGGCATAAATATATTACAATAATCAATTCCAAAATATTCTAATGTGTGCGTTGTGCTCGTATTGTTTGCAGTAATTAAACTCAACTCGGCAAAAAGTGAGATAAAAAGTATCCATCCATTTTCCTTTTTTTTTGCAGAATTACATAATCACGATGTATCAGTTAATAACTTAAATTTCTTATGCGTTGCTTCGAAATTTTTTCATCCAAAAACAATCACACATCTTCAATTTTCTATTGTTGGCCAAAAAATATAAATAGCAATCTTCGTATACATACACATATATGAGTTATAAAGGTATATTATAAATAAAATTAAAATTCAATCGACTGTTAAGGTATGGTTAAAATAATCATACAGCATGCACCCACCTCGATTTTACGTCCCTCAACCACAGTGCCGTGAAGACGTTCGCGAGCTCGTTCAGCGTCGTTGCTATTTGCGAACGTTACAAAGCCAAAGCCCTATTATATGACACGTGAATCACCATAAATACACATCATAGTGTGTCACATGCCACATAATAGTCGAAAGGCAACATTGTGCATTCAGTATATTGCAGCATCGTATTATCAACACATCACCAGCAAATTGTAATCGCAATCACATGCAATCGGACAAGAATTATAGTTTATATTGTAAAAAAAAAGAAATATATATATACTTTTATTACAGTCATTCAAAACAATTAAGGGAAATAAAATCAGATTCCAATAAAACCATATACATACATATTATAGTGTTTCTAAGCTATTTCACTTCTAATTTATTGGGGATTAGGTGTGTCATGCAAAAGTGTTCATTCATTTTCGTTCGGTTACCACGTTCAAACTTTAATTTTTTTCTTGCATTCCTGATCTTTTCAAGTTATGAAAGAATTCAATTAATAAAAAAACCCGTGAAAATAAAACTATAGCTACAGTCTATGGTTCAAGTATTAATAATACATATGACGATATCTATAAAAATGCGTTGTAACTAATTCGGCAGCCTTTGAAAGCGGGGAGTTCTGGTAAGATTTTCTGTCCTGTTTCTAATTTTCTTACAAATCTTCGCTGCTACTCAGGGTACGAGGAAGAGGAAATAAAAACATATTTTGCTTTTTAGTTACTTGACAAGCAAACATTGATTTAATACATATAATATATGTAGAAAGATTTGAAGTATTTACCATCATGTAGCAAAAAGCGTAAAAATTATAAGTTTTTAATAAACAAAATAGTTTCATTAAATATGTTTAATCCTGTTATAAATTATTGTATTAAGAGCAACATTTTAAAATATGGTTTATTTGAAATTATATCTTTGGAGGATTCAGTCTAAATTTTTAATTTCATATTCTAGCTTGGTTTTATTTCTATTTTATATTGAATATAAAAAACGAATTTGAAATTGATACATACAAATACAAACGAAAATATAAAATAGGCTTATAGACTGGCATATTGAAATAAATTTATTTCTGCGGACAATATGGTTATATTGATTAATGATTTTGAAACTTATATTGCGGATTTGATGGTGAGGAAGAAAAGGGACAGGAATGTTATCCAATGTATTGTGGTAATATCATCATGTTCATACATACACACTCAATTTATAAGATAAGATAAGATATAAGATAATTTACACACCTTACTGCCGCGTTCATTAAAAATGATTTCCACATCTAATATAGTTCCAAATTGCTGTTTTCGGTTATGCATTTATGGAAATTATGCAAATTATGGAGAGAACAAAATAGTATTGAAAATAAATATAAGTTTTTTCTAGCGGTAAGTAAGTGGGGTAAGCATAAAGTATATGGAGGCTTGATTAAAATATTACGGGTTAACTCACCCCAAACATAGCGCGTAGGTCAGGATCCCGGAATCGGAATGGAATATTCGAAACGTGTAAACGTTTCGGTTGATTTTTTGAATCAATAATAGTTTGTTGCTGCTGCTGTTGATTTAATGGAACCAGGGCCGAAGTGAGACTAGTGGCAACTGGGGTCGATGACACGGCAGAAGTCATGATTCCACCACTTGCGCCAACACTACCCGCGTTGAGGCAGGCAATGACCTGGGAAGAGCTCGCTCCGCTTACCAATGACGATACAACCGAACCAGAGTCAACTGAGCCGGGAATTATCTGTGGGTTGGACATGATGGTAGGTAACAAACCAGTGTTGGCGACATTGGCAGTAGTGCTTGTTGAGACTAGTGCGCCGGAAGCAGCTGACGTAGAGGTGGTAGAGGTTACCGCGGTGCCGACAGCGGGTGGACTGCCTCCCATGCCAGTAATAAGCTGTTGTTGGTGGGTGCTTCCTAGCAAATCATCTGAGCTTCCAGGTGTGATGGTGGGTGAAGATGTGGGAGCGCCATTTGCGGTAGTGATGATGTCCCCTGACGAGACTACTCCACTGACTAAACTGTTCCCGTTTACCGGTTGGTTTTGATTACTTATGCAACTATTGGTACTGTTGCTAGTTGTGGCTGTGACTGTAGATCCAACAGTTACAGAATTATTTGAAATCGACGTAATGGTGCTGCTTCCACCACCAGACCCTCCACTAGAACTGTTTTCACTGCATTGTTGTTGTTGCTGAGTAACATTTAGCTCAGGGTCATTTTGGATCAATACTGAAGACTGAAGGGAGTGAAATATAAGAAAAATATACATATTATTAATACTTTTCGCACCTTTTGATTAGCATTTGTTATATCGGCGGAAAATTCGAATTATAAAAATATACGGGCATCCATGAGGTATACAATATGTATTCGTTTCAACTTGCATGCATTTTTATAAAAAACGCAAAACTGAATTCGAACTAGACGTTACTTAACTTCTATTAGATTTTATATAAGTACTTAAAATTAAGGTAATTAAAAAATATACTAGTTTTGAAGGTACACGGTTAAAAATTTACCATGAACATCAGTATTTTGTAAAAGTCTAAGTCTCAAATAATTAATTAAAGTTCTCGATTTAGAAATTAATTATAAAAAGTACGGAGGTACAGAAATATTGCAGTTTTAATGCTGAAATCTATTTTTAATTTAGTATGATTAGTCAGAAAAATCCGATTTGGGTTCGAATAACTGACTTCAAGAAAGTTTTATTTAAACAAATATGGTATTTAACAATGGGAAAGATGGTAAAACAAATAAAGAATACTTTTTAAAAAAGATTTATTTGTTTGTATAATTACTTGCGTTTCATTGTGACAGTTGACTACAGCTAAGAATCTGAGACTATTTCTTCACCCAACTCCATACGTATAAAAAGTAACCGTTTATGTATTTTTTTGGTATATACATATGTAAGATGTCAAGTTGTAATAGTGGTTAAGCCTTTGGTCGGTAGCATGTAATTCATTATTAAATTAACGAACTTCATTCAACAATAAGAAACGAACCATGTGGAGAGATCGATATTTTTCTTTACCTGAAGCGCGGCAATCTAAATTGTAAGTCGTTCGTAGCGTAAATTAAAATTATAAGTGGGGTTTCGAGGAAAATAACTTTGGGTACAAAACCTCCAAAGGAATGACTGGGAGAAGAACAACCATTATTACTTGTGACTACATTTCACCAGACTACACTACTACTGGACAAAGCAATAGTGTATTTAAAACACTGTTATATGTTTTCTTGGCTACTCTTGTGGAGAAATAAGAAGATATGGGTGAATTACAATTTTTTTTAAGCTTTATTATTATTTTTTAAATGGTTGCGGATACTATGTACGTAAAACTAATTAATTTAAACTAGTTCCATAGTAGAGTTCAGCTCTTCTATTGTATTGTATATTCAAGGCGAAGTCGCTACAAAACATCTATTTTCACACAATTACTGCCGCACTGCCTATTAACGCGGTAATTCATTTCGATTTCGATATATGTATTACTTAAACTGGTGCATGTATTTTCATATGTATATACTTTTTTATACTCTCGCAACATGTTGCTACAGACTATAATAGTTTTATTCCCCTAACAGCTGTTTGTATCACCTAAAACTAATCGAATTAGATATAGGGTTATATATACATATATATAAATGATCAGGATGAAGAGACGAGTTGAAGTCCGGGTGACTGTCTGTTCGTCCTTCTGTGCAAGCTGTAACTTGAATAAAAATTGAGATATCTTTATGAAACTTGGTACACATGTTTCTTGGTACCGTAAGACGTTTTGTATTGCTGATAGATATAATCGGACCACTGCCACGCCCAAAAACGCCATCAATCAAAAACAAATAAATTGCATAACTAAGCTCTACAATAAGATACAAGACTGTTATTTGGTAAACAGGATCGCATTAGGGAGGGACATCTGCAGTTTACAATTTTTTTTAAAGTAGGCGTGGTCCCGCCCCCGAAAAGGTTTAATGTGCATATCTCCTAAGCCGCTAAAGCTATAATAACAAAATTCACTGACAACAAATGTTTTAAGCACTTCTAACGAGAATGTAAAAATGGGTGAAATCGAGTGACAACCCCACCCACTCCCCATATAACGGTACTGTTAAAAACTACTAAAAGCGCGATAAATCAAGCACTAAACACCCCAGAGACATTAAATTTTATCTCTAGGATGATATGAGATAACTTTATAGAATTAGACAAATTCGGTACATAACATTCTTCTCATACTTCTATGTTATAGTGAGAATTTGTTATAGTGAAAATGGTGCGATATTGGATTACAACAAAGCCTATTTCCCATATAACACCATTTTGCATTCAATCTGATTTGTTCACTTTCCACTATGCATATCAAGCAACAATGATTGTATAAGGGTAAAACTTTACGTGAATAATGCGTTTAAAGTATGCGACCTTGTGACCAAAAATTGGCTAAATCGATCAACACCTGTCCAAGCCCCTAGGTACTTTCTATAGCGCTCATATACCTAATATAAATATTTTTGAACTTCCGGGTGACTTTATACCGCATATATCGACCAATATGTGAGTTATCTTAATGAAAATGAAAGAACTTTACTTTTTACTCATAACAAGGTATCCTTGTGCCGATAGCTAAACATGTATAATAATATCGATATAATAAATAAAAAAATTTATTTATTGTCAATAATCGATTTCTTTTCATACTCCTCAATGTAGTTGTAATGCATTCTATATAAAATCAATTATAAGCGCATACAACAAAACACAAGAACGGTTTCTCATAATTTGAGTAAAGTATACAAATTGCTCTAATTAATTTAACTGTGAATTTAAATAACTGAGGCAACAGTTTCTACTTCTAATTATTAAAATATATAAAGAAATCTCAAACTTGTATACCATTTGACTTTGCAAGAGTATAAAATGTTCGGTTACATCCGAACTTAACCATTCTTTATTTGTTTGTATAACGTTTATCCTATCATTTCTTCATATGAAACATTAGAATTTTCTACTTCTCTTAATATATTTTCATTATTCACTTCAGCGTCCGTGTGTGTAAGGATTTATATATTTTGATAATTTGTAACCTTTTCAATGATAGGTGTAACATATTAAAATTACCTTTTAAGCACATCATAAACTTTTCCATATCGTATATTGTTTTCCGATTCGAATTTAACTGTTTTCGGTAAAATTTTTAAGTTTATAGCGTTAATTTGGACTCTCTACGATTCGAATTAGTTGCATTGCAAATGGTTTCGCCTAAATGATTATGGCTTTATATGTATACATAAATGTTAATTTACACACAATATTTACTATAACTATGGTTTGCACAAGGAATACACTACCATACATTAACCACATCTGGTAGCAATAGTATTTGGACTACAGAAAATGACAATAAGCTGAAGCTTAGAAAAGAAAAGTATTCTAATATTAATTGAACTGAATTGGATGCTTTATTCAAACAAAAGGTTGATAAACTAAAGTATTAACCATAGTAGTAAATATGCGTTCATTTGAATTAAACTTTATTTAAAGTAAGTTTTTCAACCGCACAAGTGAACAAGGAGGAACTATTTTTTAAAGTGTATGTTATTGCGAACGCCTGCTTCACACACACATACACTTGTAGGTAGTTACTGTTATTGAACTGATGAGTAAGGCACTGTGATCCAATGCTTAAAGTAGTACCAACTTTTAACCAATAATTTGAAATAGTCGAAATCTTTATTTGTCAGCGACTTATCTACCGGATGGATCTAACACAGCTTTATAGCTCAAGTGTGATTAACTGGCGTCTAGTGATTTTTTTCTGCTCTGAAAAGTATCGAGATATTCAAGATATTATGGCAATAGCAACCAATAAAAGTTCGATAAAGATTCCAAAGGTCTCAGGAACTGACTGAGTACACCAAAGAGAGGGTTAATTTAATGAAAGAAGCTGTTTCAAAAATTCATTCTTAGGTTTGAATGTAGGATATTAAGAAACATGTTGTGTAAATATCAGTTCACAGACGGGCCCATTTGTCGCCCAAGCCGGTTTTTTGTTAAAAACTTTCAGATATTGTTTTAATGGTTGCAATAGCGCTCAGTTTCAAATGAATATTGAATATAACATTATGTTCGGAAATTTTAATTTTATTATCTGTTTTTTTGTATGTTATATGCAAATATGCATGTAAATATTCATAATATAAGATAATTATTTTAGAAAAGGCTGAATAAGGACAAAATTAAGTTAATCATACATATTTTTGTGCACCGTAAATGTGTCAATCTTAGAAAATATTGCTGTAATTTGTTCTCTTTGGGGAAAGTTCAACAATATTATTCATCGACTAGAGCACGTTTCTTATGACAAATAAGCATCGTTTGTTTTAGAGGTAAATTGGTTTTTGTGAGTCACAGATCATGTACCTAAGTAAATAATATTATATTTACGATTCGGTGGTATGCCAAATATATGAAATGGTTTACATAAATTAGGAAAATATCCAACAAGACATTTTTTTTGTATTGAATTCTAATTGATTTTCGCTGTAGTTTTATTAGCATTCTTTAAGCTGCCAAATAAAAATCCTAAGGATAGTGTATAACTTCAAAGCAAATTAATGTGGTAGTGTGTGCCATATTTTAAACATTCTTCATTATTTTAAGTTTAAAAATTACAAGCAAACTAAAAAGAAAATATGAAGGGAGCTATATATGCTCTCAATCTAAAACTTAGCTTATGAACATTACATGTGAAATCATGGAATTCATTAAAAAGCTAAACTACAACAGAATTGATAACAATAGAGAGCAACAAACTTTTCACTTTATAGAATATGATGTATGAATGTTATTGTATGCACATTTATCTGTGGCGACACTAGTGTTAATATTAATAATAACAATACTTTAAATCTGCTTCGAATTGAAAATAAGTTGCATTGTAGTCATCCTTAAACTATGCTATGCTTAATGCGGGAACAACGTTCTTCGTTATATGTATATATATATAATACAATTATAGTTATGAATATAAGTAACGAAAAAAAGTATGAGAAGGATGCAATTTTTGTTACAGTGGCATAAATACTTATATAACCGCAGCAGTATAATAGGCGGTAGTAAAATGGACACAACACGAATTCCATTCCATTCCATTTAATTCAATTCAACTGGATTTTGTGTACATTATATATGTAGAGTAACTACGTACGAGTACGAATAATTTACATGAGTACGAGCGAGGATGCCAAAAAATTTGCATACTATTTAATACGTGGATATGTGAAAGGTGATAGATATGGCGTATATGGCAGGTGGCTAGTGCAATAAAGTGGCCATCGCTTGGCCAACACACTACCTCATCACCCTGTGCAAATTTTCGCTAATATGGCAACAACACTCACTAGAACAATACTTTGCGGTTGTGGCTGTGATGACGTAATCGTCAATATTGTTGTTGGCGTCGATGGTTGTGACTGCGTTTGCGACTGTGGTTGTGTTGATGGTTGCTGGTGCACTTGGTGAGTCTGGTGGATACTCGGCCGGTAATGTTGTAGCATTTTCAATTGCTGCTGTTGGAACTGTTGGTGATTGTTTTCAAAACCATTCAGGGCGGGCGACAATCCATTGCTGAGCGCAATCCCAAGTCCGCCATTATGCTGTTGCACCGGAATACTGCTCAACAAAGGCGAATCCATAACTACCTCTGTGGTCGACGTTACTGTTGTAGGTGATGTGATGGAAACATTGCAGCCGTTGAACTGCGATGTCACCGTTGGCAGATTTGTCTGCGGGAGAATGGTGTTTGAATGTTTATTCACTTTCATCCATTAATTTAGTATTAATAATCTCTTGAGATTTATTCTACATTTAAGTTCGCATGATTAGGCTCATTAAAAATTATAACTATTTTGCAAAATTTAATATTTCTTCGAGCTAAACCAACACCAAAAATTCATTATGAAATAGCTAAATACATAAATGCAGAACAGTTTTTTTTCTTATTTTATAATTCCCATTTAATAATTGTACAATCATTAATAAAATGATGAGTATAACATGCGTGTCATTTGCTTATCGCTAAATCGCACTCCCAGTAATGCCAAACAGCAAATATTGTGAAGACTTAGAGATTGAGATTGCACGCCATCACCGAATATCTCTTGATGTATCGCAATTTGTTATTGCCTAAGCTTATCGCCTACGCGTGAATCGAACTGTTTGAGAGATGAGCAAACAAACGACCAAAAGAAAATCGTGAATTTTTCAAGCAGGAAGAAATTGTCGTTACCTCTCTCGATTCGAGAACCATGATAACGTACTTGTGGATAGTAGTCTATATTGTAGGAGACTAAAAATATATCATCCATTAGATCTCTCCTTTCGATTAAATTGATTTCACTTTAATTTTTGTAAAATATTTCTCATTATACTTCAACATCATTGTTTTTGTCAGCAAATTTAGTTATTGTCATTTTAATAATAAGACAGATTCAAAATAAAACTGAATATTATACAAAAAAATCAATATGTTTTGAAATTGGACCTAAAAATTTAATAAAAAGAAATTTTTAGTATTCATCAAACACTATTTTCATACAAACGTGCAGCACAACTTGTACGAGAAAAAGCTGTAAAAAAAAGGGTATCCCATATCAATGAAAATGATGTTAACATTCATGCATTGATCATCGGTTTTATACGCATTCACTGTAGTTTTCTGATGTGACCTCCAGCGACTCTTTCCTGTTTTCAGACCTCAAGATTGCGGGAAAGCAATTATCGAGACAAAACGTACTACAAAAACGTTATCGAAAAGTTGAAAGATCGCCATAATCGGTGTATCGGCCTCGCACCTATGTCGAATAATAAGTGTTGGCAAAAAAAGGCTTTGGCTTCAAACCGATATTAATTTTTTAGCCTGCATGTTTTAAGACAACTCGTAGTGTTAGAAATACCATATTTCTATATCATAAGAATACATGTATGCTGCTGACATCTGCTTTGTCGCAGAAATTCAAACGAAGTTTTGGCACTGAGAGAGAGTGAGTAATTATAAATAATTAATGAATTAATTTCGCTAATAGATTATGGAGTTTTGACATTAATATGTGGGCTTCAAATATTAAGCTATACTTTTAGACTGAGCCATCTTATATTTTTTTTTTTGTATATATTATACTTTTGTATGGATTTTAGCGAATAAAAACAATAAAAATTAAGAACAAAGCGAAAAATCGAAATATAATAGATAGTAATAACTGCGAAATATTAAAAAAAAATTAATGCATGCATTTTCTCAAATCGATTATTATAAAGAATAATAATGGCTTTGTGTGTTTTGTGATAACCGTCGGTGCATTTATGTATTTCGTCACATATTTGTACAAGGCTACTCTGCTTATATTAGAGATTATTATTTTAACGATGTTACATACACAATATTTAGTAATTCTTAAAGCTGCTTTATATAATTGTCGAAAAGAATAAACGATGTCATGCGCAAATTTACTTATGATACACACACATATGTACATGTACACAATTTATATTTTGTTTTAGGCATTTCGAATACAAGTTTTTTAACTTAAAAACAAGAAAGTTCTTGTTTTAACAAAGCTCCAAAAACCTAAACCTTTTTTCCCTTTATTTCTCAATATTTATTTGTTTCCTTTTACACTGGTTTTTAAAATCGAACACACATACATACACTTTTCCTTAAATTATGTTTACGTCTAGCTGTGCAAGGTGAAGAAAAATATAATAGCCGTAGGTTTGGTAAAATGGGCATGCAATTATCTTAAAAAATCTTAAATAAAAATGATTCAAAGCATATTTACAAGCGCACAATGGATCAGCTCTCTGATTTCGATTCTCAACAACACATGCACGCAAACTTTCACCGCATATACAAACACACTAACTAGTGCAATAATTAGATTTCGATGAGTTTTTTCTCTTACTTTCTTCTGCTGCATGTAAAGCTGCACACCAGCGGCCGACGTGACTGCATTTGTACTTCCTGAGATCTGCGCTCCACTCTCAGTATTCATTTGAGACACCGGGTCAGCTTTAATGGCCGCAACTCCCATGGATAGACTGTCAGGATTGGCAACGCCTACCTGCGCACCGGTGGAGGGGTAGCCAGTCGGAGCGCCTGGAAATGGCGCAACACCGGCCTGCACCACGTGCTGTAAATATAGAGCAAGAAAATAGTTAGGTCGTTAAGCAGTATTTAAATTTGTGTAGTGACAAAAATAAGGGAAAAGACTAATTTGGCGACACAAATGGGTGAAATCGTTTTAAATATTTCCGTAGCCCTCTTATTGTCCTTATAATGATTTTCGTTTCTTGATTGGTATTATACTGTACCTATGTTCCCCCTGCGGGTAGGGGTAAGAATTTACCCGCGGTAAGGCATGCCTGTCGTAAGAGGCGACTAAAAGCCAATATGCACTATGAGTGTTATTATGTACCTTGCTCAGTAATATCAGCATAGTATGTCAGAAATAGTGCTATAATACTCAGCTTGGAATGATATTATAGACTTTAAATGAAAAAGCAAATAAAAAGACATTTGAACTTCAAGCGACAAATGTCACCAGTCATTGAGTAATGGGTAGCTCAACTGGCAGTAGTTTCGGCTACGCAGTCTTACCGGAGACTTTCTGGTACCACGGGGAGCAGAAAGCCCTTGGACATCGGTCCAATCTGCTCATTGGGTTATGGCCCCTTTGGGGAGATTCGTGGTGGCTGTGGTTGAAACCTAAATGCAGGAAGAATTGAAAATTCAGCTTAACTGTTTTTTTCAGTTCTAAAAAGAAGTTGCAAAAAGCAAATGGGTTCCGTACCCGAAAACGGAAGAGGTTTTAGGTCGGCCTCGAATCTTACCAAGATGGTAGTGTGTGCCCAGACACACTGCCACTGGTATCCAAAGAAATACTTGAAAATAGCTCGTATTGTTTGGGGCGCTGATCAACGCATTGTATTGATACGCTGTGTTTTTTGAACACCGTGAGGTAAGGACGTCGCTGGCAGGTACTACGTTACTGGAATTGAGTAGTATAGGAGGGGCATACATCTTATTTAAATTAAACGAATATATTTCGATTGTTTGCAACGGCTCATATCGTCCCCTAGCAGAAATGTCAATAAGTTATATAGATGCAATTGAGAATTGATAAACTAATATTTGCATTGTACATGAGCTGATGGCTAATCAAGCACAAGCAATAATGAAACTATAAATAGTCCATCGAGTTAAATTTTATGTGACTTTTAGTTTATGGCATAATGTTACATAATTTTGCATTTTTGCCACTTTCATTATCAATGAAATAATAACTCTGGTAGCCTAGTTTGCCAAACATGTTAGTGTAACCTACATTCGTAGCAGCTGAACAATGTATGCATGTATATCAGCCATGTTTAATAGCATTTGAACGCACAGCGAAACTCAATTGATTAAATCAGTTGTGATTGCGAACGGAATTACAACACTCTGTATTGGCCTAGTAACTCTGCAACAACAAACTAATCGTAATATAATTCCACCACCGCCCTGGAGTCAATTACGAAGGAGTATTTTAAATCGTTAAGTTTTCAATTCGTTTTCGATTGGCGTAAGCTACTCATTAGTAAGGCACATCACGAGCGCGTTGAATTATTCATTTATTATTTTAGTTGAACGTTTCTGCTTGTCGAAATACATAAAGCAATGTTAAATAATTCTGTAATTTTCGAATACTGTTTATTTAATTTGAAGTTCACTACAGGTAACAATTTCATATACATACAACACGGTGGTAATTCTAAAAAATTTGGTGAAGAAAATGTCTTATGCATGTTGAGCATGTAGCTTTGGGAAGAACAACCCATTAAATTACCTTTTTAGTTACCATAATACATTTTGGCAACGACAGAAATGTATTAAGTTGCGTAAATTCAAGTTAACAATCAAAAGTTATTTAAAATATTTATTTGATATGTATAACAAATTTAGTTAACTCATTTAAACAACTAACTTATTTAGATAAATACATAGTATTGAAGACTGTTATATTTTGTAGTAGTACCAGTTGTTCATAAAGTCTCGGCAAATAAAACAATTTGAAGACAAAGCGCGAGTACTACTACTACTTTTACACTTTTTTTTGTATCATACCTACTTAACTGTCAGTTACGGATTGTTTATGCTTATGTGCAAGTATGTGCGAAGGAACAAGTGTAGTTGACATACTGAATAACAAATGTGCATGGCAGCTGGCATTTAATAATTTTTCAACTTTACCGTTCATCACTTATGATCACAACTTGCCACTTGGCAAACGCTGCAGACGTGGCAAATTTTGTCGCCTGGTTAATCGCAATCGTCAGCTTGCTGCCAAAAACCAAAAAACATCGCCGACATAACCACCTCTGCTGTTCAACAACAATTTTGAATTAGAAAGGCGCATCGTTGCTGTACCAATGAACTCATGGCTTGACTGGTGGCGAGGGTAAGGGTATATGCACTCTTATATGAATTCTACCATGCACTTTTAAATACAACAACAACATAAATCCTAAGCAATTAGCGGCCGCATTTGGGCACCACAGCGCGAATATTTGCTCCCAAAGCATCTATAGCCCATTTCGATCGCTCAGGGCTGTCAACTTGGCAGCAAATGGAAATTTATTGTGAACGTGTGAATCGATAAAGATGCAGTGTTGTATATACTGCAGTTGCAGTTGCTGTTGCCAAATATGACAGCAACATAATTAATAAGTTTCACATATTTTCCTTCTCATCACCCAGTTATCTTTAGTTTAGACTAACTAATGGACGATTGCGGTGCAAATTGTTAAAAGACAACTCTTATGAATTTATGTATACTTATTTGTTGAAAATAATTCACGCTTAGTTTTATCGTTGATACACGCACATATATTATTTATAGCTATTCAGGGGTGTTGTAGAATCTGATGGTTGTCGGAATCGGAATTGAAACCGATAAAAAAAATCAAGTAAGGAAACGCTAAGTTCGGGTGCAAGCGAACATTTTATACTCTTGCGAACGACGAACGAAACGAAATCAATATATGTAGTATTTTGGAGTTGGGGTAATTCGTAGACTAAATTCACATATTTTCGGCATTAAACTGTAGTATATCCAATATTATACGTTGGTATATAGTATATCCAATATTAATCAGTTTATTTTGCTAAGATAATGCATAATGCCAACCGGAAGTTTGAAAACCTTGTTATGTACCTGAGAGATAAGGGTATTATTGACCCGATTTTACATACTATTAACCGAATAATATGTTCCCTGAGTTTCATTAAAGTACCTCACATACCGTTTCCAACATATATGGAGTAAAATCAACCGGATGTTTGAAAACTCTGTGATTAGTTATATGGGGGGCTAGGGCAAGCTGTTACCCGATTTTACTTATTTTGGGCACAAAGTTAAGTTTGAGCACACTGTTAATAGGAAAATACGCTCTCTCATTTTTATTGAGATAACTCACATACTGGCTGATATATGCGGAATAAAGACACCCGAAAGTGCGAAAATCTTTATATTAGGTATGGTATATGGGGGGCTAAGGGAAATATTGAACCGATTTAACCCCTTTGTGACACTCAGACATACTATCACCAGGAAAGCATTCCCTCCGAATTTCAATTATATATCTCACACATTGACCGATATTTTCGGTAAAAGTCAACTATAGGCATTGGGGTCCACATATTCGGTATCAGGGGCTTGAACAGTTTTGGTTGGATTTGGACAATTTTTGGTCATTAGGTGGCACACTTTAGAGGGACTAATCGTACAAAGTTTTGTTCCGATATATTACTTGATGTTTTATTTGTATACTGGAATGTGAAAGAATCAGATAGAATTTAAAATTGTGTTATTTGGGCAGTGGGCGTGGTTGTAATTTTGATACCGGCTCCTAAAAAGGCCTCTTGTGGCATCCTGGGTGTGTCTCTGACGCATTTACTCATTGATTTATCACTTTGAGTTGTGAATCTCAATTTACGGCTTAGTTATGACACTGTATACGATTTTGATTAATAGTGCTTTGTTGGCGTGGCAGTGGTCCGATTACGCCCATCTACGAACTCGTCCTTACCAAGGAATGTGTGTACCAAGTACCATCCAGATGTATTAATTTTTAATCAAGTTACAGCCTACACAGACAGACGAACAGACAGACATTCGGATTTCAATGCGTCTTGTCAACCTAATATTTTAGAAGATATATAATTACTCCTAATACGACGATACGATAACTATTGTCTAATTTTTCCATTGATTCCTATGAAGGCCTTAAGCACCATATTTCCTATGAAAGTTAATGCTTCTGAATTATTTATTTAGTGAGTTCTCGCACTTTCGAGTAGTTTTCAACATAACCGCTGACCCGATTTTAACCATTTTTGAGCAAAGTGAAGAATACTACGCATTTTGCTCAATATTTATAAAATGAGGAAGAACTCATTTATTTATATCTAATAGATATATATTGTTGAAACATGGTACACGTGGTACTATGAAGAGGTTTGTATTGGATATGGGCGGAAGCGGAAAATTATACTGTAGCTTTATCTAAGCCACAAATTGAGGTAGAAAACTGTTATCAAAGTAGGGATGGCCATCTGTGGTTTTTAAAAAGAGGGTGTGACCTTGCTTCCTAAGAGGTTTAATATACCTATCTCATAAAATACTAAAGCTGCATTTATAGCTACAGTGTGATAATGAGTGTAATCGGATAATAGTAACGTCCACTGTCTTTCTCTTAGATATCAGGACAGTACCAACGAAGTTACATATAAAAAATTTTTTTTGCAGAAATAGTGTTAAAGCATACCATTTCACAACTAAAATTATCCTTACCTTGTTATTTGATTCTTTCTTGTAATAATTAAACTCGAAAATTTTAAAGAGGGCAGCGCGCATAGATAGCGAGCAGAAATGACGCATCGAAAACAGCTATAATTTGGTTTCGATTTTAACTAACTCACATTGTTGTTTGCAGAGATTCTAATAACGGCTATTAAACACGTGGTTAAATTACTTTAATCCTACATTCAATCAAACTTAAGAGGACAAGCAAATCATCATCTGTTTTCAAAGTAGTTATTTTCTAAAGATTGTTCAGGAAGAAAGCATAATTTCGTTGTCGTACCTGTGCT